TTTTTTAAATCAGAGATGCCACGGACTGAACCTAGAACCTGGTGCATACAAAGCAGGCGTTCTCTCCCACAGCCCCTCCTAAGATAAATAAAGATGAATTACAATAACCTCATGTATATTTGCTGAATGTAACCCTCTGGCATTATTTTATGCAGTCCTGTTCATAAAATGCAAACAGCACAGTAGAGGAAGTGAAAAAACACCTTCCAGAATTTCACCGTCCAGAGGCCCATTGTGCTTTGTGCACATGAATGTTATCAGTGTAACTCCTCCATAAAGGGAGGCAGGCATGGGCCTTTTACTGCCTTCCTTGTTGCTACAGACCTTAAATATTTTAAGCATGCATGGAAAAACTGCAAGGAAGTGAAGGCCACAAATTCACACATGCATCTTACAGGTATACTCACCAGGTTTTGCCTTGCAAATGTATAAAACATTATTATTATCAGCAAAAGAGCTCCTTAATACATCACAGGAAAGAGGTGTCATTTTAATTTGTGTAAGCCACTTTGATTCCCAGTCCGGGGAAAAGGTGAGATATAATTAAATAAAATAATAGTAATAAGAATATTAATAACAATAGATGCATATACTCTCCCAAATGTCACCTTTGTCTCGCCTGAAAAGCTCAGATTTTAGAATTTACACTCTGAGAGGATAATATGGCCATAGTTCAGTGGCAGATCAACTGCTCTGCATGCAGAAGGCTCCTGAAACCACTGCCTGAAACCCAGGAGAGCTGCTGTCAGTCAGTGTGTGAGAGACTGTACTGAGCGAGATGGACCAATAGTCTGCCTTGGTATAAGGCAGCTCCACTGTGAAAGAGGGGCAGTAATGCTTCCCAGACCAGTTGCTGGGAATCACAGTTGGGAGAGAGCACTGCTGTTGTGCTCAGGTCCTGTTTGTGGGCTTCCCATGTGGGCACCTGGCTGGCCACTAAGAGAAGAGGATGCTGGGCTGTATGGGCCACCGGCCTCATCCAGCAGGGCTCTTCATATGCCCCCACGTTCTTCCCATGTGAAGCAGTTGGTAAGATGCTTGGGGTGTCTTCTTCAGCAGTGACAGGTGACACAGCCTAGTCCTTGCAAGGGTGTTGTTAATGCTAATACAAGACAAAGCAAGGCCTGGGAGTCATTTTGGACTCACAGCTGTCCATGGAGGCACAGGTTAATTCTGTGTCCAGGGCAGCTGTCTACCAGCTCCCCCTGGTGCGCAGGCTAAGACCCTACCTGCCCGCGAACTGTCTTGCCAGAGTGGTGCATGCTCTAGTTATCTCCCGCTTGGACTACTGCAACGCGCTCTACGTGGGGCTACCTTTGAAGGTGACCCGGAAACTGCAACTAATCCAGAATGCGGCAGCTAGACTGGTGACTGGGAGTGGCCGCCAGGACCACATAACACCGGTTCTGAGAGATCTGCATTGGCTCCTAGCACGTTTCTGAGCACAATTCAAAGTGTTGGTGCTGACCTTTAAAGCCCTAAACGGCCTCGGTCCTGTATACCTGAAGGAGCGTCTCCACCCCCATCGTTCAGCCCGGACACTGAGATCCAGCGCCGAGGGCCTTCTGGTGGTTCGCTCATTGTGAGAAGTAAGGTTACAGGGAACCAGGCAGAGGGCCTTCTCGGTAGTGGCGCCTGCCCTGTGGAACGCCCTCCCAGCAGATGTCAAAGCAATAAACAACTATTTTACTTTTAAAAGGCAGCCCTCTTTAGGGAAGTTTTTAATGTCTGATGCTGTACTGTTTTTAATATTCAGTTGGAAGTCGCCCAGAGTGGCTGGGGAAACCCAGCCAGATGGGCGGGGTATAAATAATAAATTATTATTATATTATTATTATTTTACTGCCTCCTGTCTTGGACAGAGCAGGGCAAGCCACAGTCAAAGGACCAGCACCAAGCGCAGGTACACTGACGAAAGCTGACATCTGCAATTCCCCTGGAAACTATCCTAATTGCACCTCAAAAACCCTGTCCAGGTTTGGGCTAAATGCCTCACAGCAAACCTTAAGACTCTGACGCTTCCCCAACTGTTGTGCCCACAGACGTGCCAAGCAGCTGCTGTTCTTTAAAGGAAGTACCAAGAATTATTATTACAATTTATTACCATCATTATTATTTACTTCATTTCTTGCTCAGTCTTCATCGTAAGGTCCAAAGGTAGGTTACAACAATAGAAACACAAGATTAAAACTCATATAAGACAACTGATGGAAGTTGTACAATGAAGGTGTCAGTGGCAACTCTGTGGGGAGGGAATTCCACAGCTTGTGGGCTGCCACAGAGAGTGCTCTCTCCCACCTGCCCCCCGAACCTCTGAGAGCAGTGGAAAGAGCAAGAAGGCCCCCCCTGCCAATCTTAACAGCCAAGGGGGTCTGTAAGGAAGCAGTCTTCAAGCTGCAGGGATGCTGGACGGGACAGGACAGGACCACAGGAACTTAGGAAACAGTCTTATGCCGAACCAGAACATTAATCCATTTAACTCAGTATTGTTGACACTGACTGACAGCAGCTCTCTGGGGTTTTACAAAGGGGTTGCTCCCAGCCTTACTGGAGATGCCACCAGATATTGAACCTGAGACCTAATGCATGCAAAGCATATGATCCACTGTTGAACTACAGCCCCTCCTCTAATACCAGGACAGATGCACAGATCCCCCAGAAAGCCAGGCAACCACATACTGTGCATACATCAAAGCAAAGCTGCACCCAATTTACAGCTGCTGTTTAGCCAGAAAATATTCACTTGCTGAATGGCTGCTTGGCATACAGCTGTTTTAAGAAACAAAAAATGCAATCCTAGCAAAGAGTTAATGGCAGCCCACCCTGGATACGGGGTGGGGGGTGGAGGAAACAACCCTCATTCTTTACATACGTGTGCACACAATAATTCTCCAGCCACCACTATACCCACTACCTAAAAAAAAACAGCTATGCACACCCAACCACAGATATCCAACCTTTGCAAACCTGGAATGTGACACATATCAGATTGGGGAGAAGTGGTACACTGTAGCCACACACAAAAGCACCACCAAAACCTTGTGGGTGTGACCGACATGCACACACCCTGAACTCTCAAGGTATGGTGTCCACCGTTTCCCTCCTCATATTGTTTCCCTCCTCATATCAGTTTTTTATTATTAATTAGATTTCTTCCCCACCCTTTACTATGCGGTCCTAGGACAGGTTATAGCAATTAAAAAATATAGTATTAAAACAGATTAGGATCAAAAGAAAAAAGTGGGTCCTAAAATATATATCTCCCAGGTGTCAAAGGCCAGGGTAAAGAGGTGTGTATTAAATGTCCAAGCCGACACATTTAACACGCACAATCTACAATTCTGTGCACGCGAGCAAGACAGCCAAGCCCTTCCCTGTCTGTATCTCACACATCAATACACTTTAAAACCCATGGCTTGCCTTCCAAATCACACCCAAATGGATGTTTACCGTGGACAGAAAAAACATTAGATATTCCCTCTCCATATAACATTCTCATGCACACACACCTACCTTCTCAGGACATGCTCACAACGCAACCTAGGCCAATTCAAAAGCCTGGAAATAGGGACAAAGCCGAAGGATGGAGGCAAGAGAGATTTTTGACACCTCCTTGCTGTGTGAGAGAGACAAAGACTATCACTTTAACACAACACTGGAGGATCTGGCTATTCGAAGAGCACAAGGTTTGGTCACTCCAAGATCATCACACACACACCCCACATTTAAACCCAGGAGGTGCTTTTCACTCGCAAAGAACTGCACATTGCAACTCACCTAGGTCAGTTCAAAGCTGGAGGGAGGAACCACATGTTTGTGTGCATACAAGAAAGGTACGTATTTTGACAGGTACACAGTGAATGCATATTTGAGAGAGACTAGACCATAAACAAACCTCACTCTCATACACACACACACCCTCCATGCATCCTTTCGCACAAACACACCTAGGACCTGCCTCCTGCTCATGCCCAGATGAATGTGTGAATGTGCATATAAAGAACATGTGCACACATGCAAATGAGGGAAAGAAACACAAGGACCGTGACTTCTGCTACCTGTGTTATACCATTCATGCACACATTCCCCAAGACCTGCTTCTCACAGGCAGAGAGGACTATGCACCCAACACACCTAGGCTACTTTATAGGGAGAGGGGGGAAGAGGGGAGCTGAACTCGGGAGGAAGCTATTAGAGAGGCACATCTTTTGCCACAGGTGGCATCAGTATGTGCTGTGTGTGAACACACACACGCTTTGCACAAAAGCACCTTTAAACCCACAACCTGCCTCCTCCCACCTGTGTGGACATGCAATCACACCTGTAGGCAGAGTGACACACATACACACCCCTGCAAAAACAGCAACAACCCCCCTCCCCAAGCACATTCCCAAGCATCTTTAAACCCTGGACACGCTCCTCTCCTAAATTCAGGAATTCCAAAATTCCTACATTTGCATGCCTCAGTTTATGGGTATAAAAGAACACACACAAACTCGTGTGTATGGGCTGCACCCAACCTTATTCCTTGCTGAAATGAAGGATCAACTTAGGCCCATTGAGTGCCTCTGAGGAGACTCCGCTGAGCCGGCTGAAGTTACTACGGGCACCCCGACCAACCCGGGGCCCATTAATCCCGGTGGATCTCCTCGGAGGAGAACCCCGTTGAAGGAGCACCCTGACTAAGCGCAGGCCCCTGGATCTCAACGGGTGTACTCTGGGATGGCGACCCGTGGGAGTCAAGGGGCGCCTCGACTGACACAGGCCCATTCATCCCAACCCAAGAGGGAAAGCCTCCCCTGAGGGAAAGTCAGCCGGATGCAACCCGGAAGGGAACACGCGTTATCCCGCTGCTGCACGCGTCGCTCCCTTCACACGAGCGGCGCTTGCACGGTGCCACACGCCTTCTCCCAACCCCAACCCAAAACATCCACACCGAGGAGGCGGCGGCGGCGCTTCTTCTCCTCCTCCTCGCCGCCGTCCGCCCCTCTCCCACAGCGATGGCGGCGTCCCCGTCCGCCTCCATCCTCCGGGGCCCCCCGTCCGGCCCGTCGCCTCCCTCGCTCACCGGGCAGCGCGGCTGGATGGCGAGGCCCGGCCCGGCCTCTCCTTCGGCCCCGGCTGCTCGCTGCCTCCGCCTCCTGCGGCCGCTCCCGGGCCGGCATCGAGCGAGCCCAGCCCGCCAGCAGGAGGAGCAGGAGGGCGGCGGCGGAGGCGGAGAACGGGGCGGGCGCTGAGGAGGAGGAGCGGGGAAGAGGCCGGCCTTCTCCCTCCAGCTCGGAGGGGCGAGGCGGGAAGAGGCAGGTGGGGGGGGGGGAGGCCCTACTCAGAGTAGACCGCCCGCCTTGAAAGGGACGGGCCTCCGCCGCGGGGTCTCTCTCAGCGGCTTCGTGGCGAACTCACAGCAGGGCCGCTCCCTTCCCCTCACACCCAGATCCAGAGGGGAATAATGGGTGCTGCTGGCCCGCCAAGTCCTACTCAGAGTAGACCTCCCTCCCTCCCCACTGAAATGAAGGGGTCCCTTCGCTTCCATGCAAGCGCTGGAGGCGGTAATGGTGAGAAGAAGGCACAACCTCGGGGGGAAACAGTAAAGGAAATGCTCTTTCTCAGGGGGAAGGTAGGCGGTCTCTCTCAAGGGGCCGCGTCAGTCAGGGGATTATTCCTATTAGCAAGCCCCTTTTGCGTCGAACTGACTTTCCCCTCAGAGAAGCTCTTAATGGTGACCATGATAACGTCCCCAACCACGACAAAATGTTCTCTTGAGGGGGAAGTCAGGGCATCTAATGGGGCTTACTCGCAAGTAAGTGGGACCGCTTACTCAGGAGTCTGTCGTCCCCTTTGGGCGCCCTGACTGGCCCTGAGCTTCTCTGAGGGGAAAGCTAGTCAGGGTCAAGAAGCGCTGGGACTTAACTTTTGAGTTATTATTATTTAGTGGGACTTACTTCTGAGTTATTAGCATTATTAATTACATTGTTATTATTACCCTCGCAAAGGCAAGCCCCATTTGGCACCCTGAAGGACTTTTCCCTCGGGCAACATTTTTGTTACCTATTATTATTAATATTATTATCATTATCATTATCATTTGCTTCCCTGAGAGGAAAAGGCAGGCAGTGAGGACACCGAATGAGGCTTACTTCCCAGTAAGCATGACTCTCAATTGTTGGTAATCAATACCCCTTTTGACTAAAAAAAACCAAAGAGGTGCCAGTTCTTTTATCTTTATATAATAAGTTTTGTGGGCGCCATCACAAAATGGCTGCTCTCTCTCTCTCTCTCACACACACACACACACACACAAACACATCTAGAGGCGACAAGTGTTTAAAGTGATATTAATCCATCTATTGCACAAGGTTTCATGCATCGGTTATATCTGCATGCATTTACATAAGGTCCAGAGGGCAGAGGGGGTATTTCTCCCCGTCCCTAGATTGTAAGTTCCTTGAGGCAGAGACCTGCCCTGTCTTTGTAAAGTGCCAGCGACGTGGATGGCACAATAAGAATGAATGTTAACAGCAGGCGCCATCTCAGAAGAAATATTCCCTCTTGGGCGAGGGTGGAGGAGGAATGCTTTTTTCTAACAGGGTGCCTGCCACCCATGGATTTCTCAGCACTATAATTAAAAACTAATCAACATTTTGTGAAGCCTGTTGCTCAGTTCATTAGGGGCATCTCTTTAATCAACTAAAACTGCAATCCTAGGCACACTTCATTGGGCACATGCAAATTATATCCCCACGAACACTTGCACAGATTAAGCTATTCAAACAATTAATCCACTCGTGTTTCTTCGGTCAAAGGGACAGCCCTGCCTCTTTCCCCCCCCCCCCATTCTAGTCCCCCAATTCTTTTTGCATCATATTTCTAGCAGCTGTTTTATTTGGGGGAGTTTTGGGTGAACTCGGTGCTTCTGTGCTCACAAATGAGGCTGCAACAGGTATGCACCAGGCATTTGAAGCACACACCTTCCCACAAAGAATCATGGGAACTGTAGTTCCCAGCACCCTTAACAAACTTTGAGTATCATTTCAGGGGAGAAAACAGAAATGGGGAGTGGGGAGAGAGGGTAGGATGCCCAGCTTGGGGGAAACAGCTGGCTGGGACCCTGGCCAGGAGCAGTCCTCCTGCTAAAAGATGATGCGCTGCAACGTTTTGTTGCAGCCCCCCTCTTGCACCCTGCTCTACTGTCAGCTTTAGACTGAGTTGCTATAACAGGTCTATCAATGTACAAAACAATAACTGGCCAGGTGTACATTTGTTTTGAGAGAAAAGTTATGAACTGGTGTTTCAGTCTCAGTTATCAGGGCATTGCTGTTGTTGTTGTTTTTGCAGACTTGTCTGTATTGATGAAACAGAGCTGCCAACCATTATGCATCCTATTGTTTACAAGGGTTCTGTTGTATTTGAGGCCATTTTAAAAAGGAATATATATTGTGATAGGGACTTGATAGCAGAGTATTCTGCATTAGTTAGGAACAAAACCTTTTAATCTCTAGCAGACGTTCCTCATCTAGTCATTTTGTTAAGGGAGACCCCATCTGCGCTTCATTTGATAAGGCTTTCTGACTGTTCCCCATGCAGGGATTTGGATCAGGGCCTGAGTTGAGGGTGGCATGCCCAGACTCCTGACAAGGCACTCACTTCAATAGGGGGCTCTGTCTGCAAAGCAAAACTTTGACTTCTGCATGCTGGACCACTTATGCTTTCCTGACACACTCCTTTCTTATCGTTAACAGGTAACAGATTTTCATGACAGATAATGCAATAAATAGACACCTCTCTTTCCACGCAAACAGAAAACAATTGTAAGTACACAGAGCACTTTTCGACGTTTGCTCCACATAGCAAAGCGTATTGACCTGTTTTCTTTATTGGATGCCAAGTTCAATTAAAATAATAGGAAGATTTCTTTTCTCCTTTTAAAAATGATTATTTGAACAACTTTTCTGCCCTCTAGTGGACTCTGCTTCAAAAGGCACATCCACCTTTGTTTTGGAACACCAGCATGGGATGAATGAAGAGTGCTCACATTCTGCTGAGTCTCATGCTTAGGTTACATAAGGCTGCAAGTCTAACCCTGCTTACCTGCTGCGCTTATTCAGTAGAGTTATCTCTGAGTAAACGTGGTTAGGACTGGGCTGCTATTCCTTTGAACATCCAGTGGGCAGAACATTTAGGTTCTCTTTTCCAAAGTTCAACTTTCTCCACCAAAATCGATGCTTCTTTTAAAGAGTCTTTCAGATTCCTGTTGGTTGATCTGACGTTGTAGATGCTAGCCCATGAGCAGTAAAACTGTTAGTCTTTAGGGTACAACAAGACTCTTGACTGATTTTGCCCTTTGGGGTGTTCCTTTATTGCACCACTCTGAGCAGGTGCCCAAGGTTGTTCATAGTATATTGTCTCTTAGGTGCTGTAGTCTAGTCCAGGAGAGGACAACCCTTTTTCTTCTGCCAAGGCCACATTCCCTTGACAGCCAAGCAATCTGTCAGGGGCCACAAACCAGCAGTGGGCATCATGGGAGGAATCAAATCCTGGGATGTGGTGGTGTTACCAGGTGACCATTGATGTGAGTTAATTTGGTTTTTAGCCTGTTGTTATTTTAACTGTGTGTATTGAATTATTGCTCTTTTTCTCAAGTGAAAATTTTATTTTGCTCTTTCTTTTGTAAAGCATTTTGAGTGGAAGGTTGGCAATGAAATTCAGAGTTGGCTATCAGGAGGAGCACCCGATGCTTCCACAATGGCTGCCAACACTGTCTATGATGCTTCATCCCCTTCACCCTCCCTTAGACAGGCTCATCTCAAACTGCAGCTCCGGAGTCCCTCCATTAAGCCTGCTGCTGGATCCAGGCCAAGGAGGTGGGGAGAGGCAGGGTGCCTTTTGTTCAATTCTCTATTGCTCATTTGCCAAAAAACAAAAGCGCTCGCTCAGACGCCAGGCAGAGTGCTGAGGTGGCAGCTTGTGGGCCGCCACTGGCAATCCCTCTGAGCGGAAGCCACTGGCTGGGCTCTAGGCCCACCTGCCTGCTTCCCAGAGGGGCAGAGAGAAGCCAGCATGCTGCCCCTAGAAAATAAGTGACCCCTCTCCCCGGCATCTTGGGAGATTGGCCAGACTTAGCTGTTTCAAGGTTCCTGGGCAGAAGGGAGTTCCACAGCCCTAGCCTGGGAGAGAGAAACACAGAATCTTGTGCGTCTTTCACAATATCTGGGGGGATGCAAAAAAAGTGATAAGCCATGGTTGTCCTAAAGAACCATTACTCCCTCAAAAACAGCAGGGGTGGGGGAACTTTTTCAGCCCAAGGGCCACATTTCCCTTCCAAGGGGCCACATACCATTGGTGGGCGGTGCCAGAGCAATGAATGCAAATTTTACCTTTATACAGTAGGCTAGTTTCTGCACCTGCACTCAAGCACCCCTCTCTGCCCTCTATCCAGACAAGCAGGAGGCATTACCAGAGCTCAGTGACTCAGTGACTCATTGATGCACTCAAGGAGGGGGCGAATGAGGACTGATGAAGGGTGTGGCCTGGAGAGAGCGGGTGTGGCCTGGGAAGAGTCCCAAGGGCCAGACAGAAAGGCCTGCAGGGCCACATTTCTCTCCTTATCTGCAGGTTCCCCGTTGCTGCTCAAAAGCAACAGCATATCTTGCTTCATGCCAACAAGCTCCAAAACTCAAAACTATTTGCTCCTTTTTCAGATCCTAGCCCAATGCTATTGCAGCTCTCGCCCTGGGATGTGGTTATTACAGTAAGCCCTCAACTTATGTGCATTTAACTTGTGTGCATTCATGCTTTACATATATGGCAAAAAAATTAAAGTTTTTAAAATGGAGTGGGGTTCCAGGAAAAATGACTTCGGCATTCCCACCCGCCGTTGAAGCCAATGAGTTTTGACTATATTTTGGCTTTAGACACGACCCCTGAAACGTAACCCCCATGTAATTTGTGGGCTTGCTGTATAAGATCCCTAGCTGTCTCCTTTAGCTAGTGCCCCTTGTTAGTGGCCAAGTTGCACTGAAGCTAAAGGGGGACATGAGAGAGCAGAACAGCCTAGAGGGGTCTGGGTACAACTGGCATAATTCAGAAAACGCAGAATGTAGCATTAGGTACAGGATCCCGCTCCCTGAGATTCCCGTTCTATGAACCTTCTGGATCAGAACCACTGCCCATCTAGTCCAGTATCCTTTTCTCACAGGGGCCAACGAGATGCTCTAATGGGAAGCCTGGAAGCAGGATCCAAGCACAAGAGCCCTCTCCCTTCCTGGAGTTTCCAGCAGCTGGTATTTAGAAGCATCACTGCCTGCAGCCGTGGAGTCAGAGCATAGCTTTTGTGGCCAGTAGCCATCAGTAGCCACCTGCTCTATGACTTTGTCCAATCTTCTTCTAAAGCCATCTAGGTTGGCCTCCACTCTTTCCTGTGGGAGGGAGTTCCATAGATGGGTGCTGTGCTAAAAGTTCCCCCTTCTCATTTCCCCCAGACACTAGCCAGGCATTCCTGCAGGCGGCCCCCACCCTGGGTGGGTGATGGGCGATTGGATGCACCCTCAGCCAAGAATGCAACTTGGACGGTGGAAGCGAGCTGTTGAAATCTCTGGGGATCAAGGGAGGCTCAGTGGCAGAGAATGCATCGTGCTGACCGCAGCTCAAAGCTTGCCCGGTGCCTATCGGGACGCTGGCCCTATATAAACAAACAGGGACGGTCCAGGCAGCAGGGCGGCCCATGGAGGAACTGTCACCATTCAGCGAGCGAGGTGAGTCACTCCAGAGAAAACCCCCCTTCCCCAAATTCTCTCCCCCGTCTGGACTTTATTCATCAAGACCGAGACTCCTGTCCGGAAAGAAATCCTCCCAACAGGCTGTCTCTTAAATTGAAACCCCCCCCCATAATCAAACTGGAGGAAAATGGCAGGTCTTGGACAACCTATTTGCATTGCATTGCTATCCCACTTCTCCTCCTCAGAGCTCAAGGTGGTGTATGTGGTTTTCCCCCACCCCATTTTATCCTCACAACAACCCTGTGAGGTAGGTTAGGTTGAGAGAGGCAGTGGACTGGCCCAAGGGTGCACCCAGGGAGCTTTGTGGCCGAGTGGGGATTTGAATCCTGTAATCACTACACCATGCTGGCTCTCAACTGAGGATAGATGTAGCTAATAATAATAATTTGCACCTCCACTGCCCTATGTGCATTTTTGTAGGTGAACTGATCCACTTCTTAACTTTGCGGAAAAATACGCAGATCGAAACGCAGCCATTCTTTGAGATTTGCACATCTCTGAATTTTGTGATGCTGTTCTCCAAATGAATAATGCCTATGGGGGAAATGTGCATTTAATGAAATCAACGTATTAAAATTATAGGGGAAATCGCTTGCAAAAAAAAATGTGCCTGTCAGGCAAAACTGCATGCAAGAATGTGTATATTTGGAAAAAATGGCACTAAAACTCTGATGGATTTCACGAGAACTTAAAAAATAAATAAATGCTGATGCAGAAGTTAGAATCTGAAACTGACAGATGAGTCCATGCCTATCTGCACACCACTGTCCCATTTTGGAACACAAACTGAGGGGAGAGACAGGAAAAGTCATCCAGTCACAAACCGGACAAACTTGCACCTCTGTTCATTGCAGGTGAGGTGGGAGCCTCCTAAATTTGCTTTTGGGGTTTAGAAATCTACGTTGTGAGTTTGGGGCCCCGCATCTGCCAGACACTGCCCTCTCCTGGAAGCACTTGTGTCTGCAGCAAGGACGAACCTGAAAGGACCTTGCTGTCAAAATGGGCACCTATGCAGATTTTGAGACAAGTTTGATGCTTCCCCCTGTTTTATCTCTCCCTTAGAACTCAGCCACGCAGCCAAGATGGCACAGATAAACCCCCAACCGGCCCAGGTGGGCACGTGGAAGGTACGTCCCGGTGGTTAAAACGCAGGCGGAGAGCCACAAAGACTCCTGTGGCAATGCAAAGACTGGCAGATTTATTGCAGGGGGTTGGACTAGGTGACCATTCCAGCTCTACAATTCTGTGGATTATGCTTTCATGGCCAGGGTTGGCTTTAAGTTTGAGGGGGCCTTGGCAAAGGGGCAGCCTGGTGCCCTCCTGGCTCCTGCTCCTCGTGGTCATACCTGGTCCCAGTGGTTCCAGCAACAGGCAGCAATCTAAGTGGCTAGGAGCCAAGCCACCATTTGACAGTACCCTGGGGTGACGCTACTTCAGGGGTGTTGTGGGTGATTAAAATGGCATCCTGACACTGGGCGAGTGGGGCTGGCATGCTGGAACCTGATCTGCGGATTAGATTAGGGGCAGGGACCTTTTTCAGGCCATAGAGCACAACCCCTACTGGGCAGGGCCAGCCCTATGATGAAGCAGAGTGAGACAGCTGCCTCAGGCGGAAGATGCTGAGGGGCGGGGAGGAGATGGAGCTGTGAGGCTGCCATGATGCCTGCCTTGTACCCTCTTCACTAGCCTGCTAGTGTTTTCCTTTTCACAGTGTCAGAGTAAGATTCAGCTGCCAGTTCAATGGGCTTCTCTAGATGCCTTGAGGAGGGCTCCACCTTGTCCTTTGCCTCAGGCGGCCAAATGTCTAGAGCCAGCCTGGCTACTGGGGGGCACCAGATTCCTGCATTGCAGGGGGTTGTACTAGATGACCCTGAGGGTCCCTTCCAGCTCCACAGTTGTATTATTCTATGCCCGTGGTGGACGAGCAGAACAATGGGTGTAAATTAGTACAATAGGCTAGCTCCTACACATGTTAACACACCCATCCCTCTGTTTCCTATTTTAATTTTTATTTATAAAGTTTATTAAAACTGACAACATAAAAACACAAAATGAGAACACAAAATACATAAGAAAAAGAAGAACAGGAACAAACCAATAACCCTTTCCTCCCACAAACCCTTTTCCATCCCATCAAGGAAGAGTAATTTCTAGCCAGGCAAAAACACTGAAGGAGGGACAGGGAGGGGCGTGGCCTGGAGGGAGGGGTGTGGCTAGGGAGGAGGCGTGGCCCAGGAAAAGTTCTGAGGGCCAGCCAGAAAGGCCTGGAGGGCCGCATTTGATCCCCAGGCCTGAGACTCCCCATTCCTGGCCTAGGGGTCATTTTCAACCAGAGCAAAGAGAGAGTATGGAAGAGAGATATTTAAGCTTGCCCTCCTATGAGGCTGAGAGATGCTGGAACTGGGTGTCTTTCAAGGGCAGCAAAAGCAGGTCCTTAAAATTTCCCTCTTTGGAAAGCGGGAGCCCTTGCCCTGCCCTGCCTGACGGTGTCGCTCTCTTGCAGATCACTGCCTATGATCAGGAGAACTTCCAGGGCAAACGGATGGAGTTTGCCACCTCCTGCCCCAACATCGTGGAGTGCAGCTTCGACAACGTGCGCTCGCTCAAGGTGGAAAGTGGCGCGTGAGTACAGGGGGTAGCGGGGCTTCCGAAAGCAAGAAGTCAGGGTTAAGTAGAAGATGAGAAGAAAGAGTCTGCCGGATCAGGCCAATGGCTCATCTGAGTCCAGCATCCTGTTCTCACAGGGGCCAGCCAGAGGTCCAATTGGGAAGCCTTCAAGCAGAGCCCTCTGCCCTCCTGCGGTCCCACCACTGTGGGTCACACGGGCCCCCATAGCAAGTGTCCTTCTGTTCTCACATGTTCCAAAACCGCCCAGCCCACCTGAACCCACAAAGGCCCTCCCCCAGAGCCCGTAGCCTGCAGGAAACATAGCCTTGGTTTGATTTGACAAAGGTGGTTCCCTGAGCCACGTACGGCAAGGGTGAAGTTCATTGGACATCCCCATCCTCGTCCCATTTATATGCCACCTTTTGATTTAAGTTTCCAAGGCATCTTAAACAACACAAAAGGGTGCTTCCAGGCTGTTGCGGATCCAGCCACCTGCTGGCAAATTGGGGGTTGTGTAATTAGAGCTGATTATGAGGCCCTCTGCAAGAAACTGGCTCGCCCCCCACCCTATAAAAATGGATTCCCCCCCTCCTCTTTTTTGAAATAAGGAAAGTGATGAGGAAATGCACTGGAAAGCATGGGATGGAAGCTTGCTTTGGCTTCCCTGCAAACAAATCAGAATAAATGTCTATTAAATAGCCAACGTAGCATCTGATTTCCCTGGAATTTCCTGGAGCACTGTGGTGTTGCCTCTTTTGTGCAAGTTTCCTTTATGTGTTTATTTATATCTTTCATCTCCTTACCTGACCGTGCTCTCTTTCTCTTCTTTCTTTCTTTCTTTCTCTCTTTCTCTCTTTCTATTGTTAGAATATTTTGTTAATCTCATTATACATGTAATATATATTTTTTTAAAATTATATGGGATATTATGCCAGAATGCATAACTTGCTTGAAGGAGTCCAAGGGTTGAAACAGTGTAAGCCAGGGCCAGCCCACCCATGAGGCAAGGGTAGGCGGCTGCCTAAGGCAGCAGGGTTCATAGAGGAGCAGATCCAGCCTCTAAGGAATGCATTGCCCACTACTGCTGCTGCTGTAGTGACAGCAGTGGCTGCTGCACGCTCCTTGGAAGCTAGATCGGCCGCCTCCTTGGCAGCCTCCTCCCCAAATGCTACCTCTGCAGTAGCCTCTGGGGGAATAGGAGGTGCTGCTTGTCTCCCCACACCCATGGGGAGAGAATGGTGGGGGCTGCCCTCAGGGCCTTTGATTCCCACAACTGCCATCAGCTATGGTTGATGTGATTCCCTACCTTGTTCCCAATGTAGATTTTCGCCCATCGCTTCTTCCCTGGAGGGGGGGAGGCACCATTTTCTGGTTTGCTTCAAGTGACCAGATGTCTTGGGCTGGCCCTGGCGCAAGCAGCTCCTGAAAGCACATCCATCGGGCCGTACTGAGGCTAATAAAAGATAGGCTGTTGGACTGTTGTTCCATCACAAGTCACCTTGTCCATACTGCTGCAATATAGGCTGCCTAAAGTCCTTCTGAAAACATGGGGTTGCCCTTTTCTCCAGCCCGCAGGGTCCATGCTTTGTGCACTCTTAACGAATCAGCGTTCTCAAAGAAAACTCCAGATGCACCTCCCTTTTGCTCTTATCTTCCCTGCCATCCTCTTGTGTGCTGCTGATTGCAATTTCAATTAAAAATATAATGAAAATAATGTCCCTGCAGGGTGGATGCTTAATAAACAGGTTGTCAGGAAGGGCATGAAATTAAAAACGGCATCTAAAGGGGATCCTATGACAGAAACACACGAAGCAGTGAAAAGCTGCCGTCTTAAAAAGGACAGTTAAAATATCCCAGCTGTTGCCAGGGAGGTCCCCTGAGGTGACCAAGTTGGGGATTCCCAGGCCAAAGGAAAGTATTGAGAAACCTCCCTTTACACAAGAGGCTCATGCATAGCTGACTGAGGCAGGTCAAGAACCCAGCCCCAGAATCAGACCAGTCCGGGGCTACCCACAAGGCTATATTTAGGCTGAATAACGAGAACCGGATTATCACTTCTTCGAGGGCCCGTCGCTCAGCCGTCCTGCTGTGGGGCAGACCGCCCTCTCCGCCAGTGGGATAAAACGAGGGCATGTGTTGCATCCCCTCTGAGTGTCCTGATTTTCCAGGGACAGTCCCGGAAGTACAAAGCCATCCCAGCTTCTGATTTGACCCCAGAATGTCTCCTTTTCCCCTCCAGCACTGCCAGTGCTGAGCTCGGGGAGTGCGATGTGCCGGCGCTTGTCCTGGGTGGTGGCAGTGCTGCCTGTGTGAGGAAGCATCCTGTTGCCTCTTCTGGGCCTCTCCATGGCTGCCTCCTCCCTTGGGCAGCTCGCAGCAGCTGCTGGAGAGCAGGCAAGGAGGAGAAGAGGCTACCACCAACGAGGCCCAGCCCCGTACCACATGCTGGCTCTGAGGGGTCAGCAGAGGGCAGGACCGCCCTGGGCAGCAAGAAGGGTGCAGTACAAGGAGCCTTGGTTTTGTTAATTTAAAAAATGCTTTGTGTATCCACATCAAATATTGCCCCTTTCTAAAATGTATTTATGACTGTGTGTTTTTCTTCTTGCAAATCTACCAAAGAATAAAATAACATCAGGACTAAGAGGTTTTCTCAGGACAGTGGAGGGCCTGTGCGCTGTGCCCTGTTGGTGTCATGGGGGTGGCACTCGCTCTTGGTGGGGGGACCAAAATTTGGGGGGTCGAGGAGGGTGGGGAGTGAGACATGCCCCTCTTTTCATCTGGGGAAGGTGTGGTGATGTGGTTTCTTGCTGAGCGTCTCCTCCTTCCTCTCCGCAGCTGGTTTGGCTATGAGCACACCAACTTCTGTGGGCAGCAGTTTGTCCTGGAGCGCGGAGAGTATCCCCGCTGGGAGGCCTGGAGCGGCAGCAACGCCTACCACGTGGAGCGGCTGATGTCCTTCCGCCCTATCTCCTCCGCAGTGAGTCCCATCGCCTTTGCCGCGCGGCATTATGCAAGGACCACAATCGCAGGCCTGTTAAAACGAGACCTCCCTGGAGAAGGAACCAGCTTTCCCGGTTCAGGAGGCAAGCGTTCGGGTTTCACAGAACTCCTTTTTGAGCCGCATGCAAACTTTCAAGCTTCACAGAGTTCTTCTTTAGCATAAATAAATAAATAAGATTCTTGGGAGGTTTTTTAAAAATGAAATTGCCTAATAATAATACCATCTCCAGTCCAGAGATTTGGGTGTGTGGGGAGGTGTGAATTGAGTTTGTTAATTTAGTTTAGATGGGCAGGGTACAAATAAGATTCATCATCATCATCATTTATAAACTGCTTAATATTGTAAAAAAATATTTAAGCGATATGCAAGCTGCTGAAATTCTGCAAAAGGGTAAAACTGGAGTTGTTTTTACTTCTTGCTGTAGGGGTGAAAAGGCTTAAGGCCAGCCCTCTTTGCCCCCCCCCCCCCCGGGTTAGGAATTACAACATCACGGCTTTTCAAGTTAAATTAAAACTGCTGCAGAAGAAGCGTATCAACAGCTTTTAGGCAGACAGGCTAAGAGGGCTCAGTCCCAATGTGTCCAAAACTGGGAGAGAACAATAGAGGGCCTGGGCAGCTGAAGCCACGGGTAGCCCCTGCCTGGCACATAGTGTCATGCACAGATCTTACCCTAATATTATTGTCCCGCATCTCAGGCCCCTTGAGCCCTGTGTGCTGGAGGGGCTGTGAAGTCATGGGAACATCCCTACCTTTATGGTGGCAGCGCGAAGTTGGCATCCTGAATTTTGGACAGGTGTTTTCACTGAAAAGAGGGCTGCTTTGCTCTTTCCTCCACCCCCACAGAGCCACAAAGAGTCCAAGATCACCCTTTATGAAAAGGAGAACTTCATGGGGCAGCCGTGGGAGGTCCATGATGACTACCCTTCCCTGCAGGCCATGGGCTGGAGCAACAGCGAAGTGGGCTCCATGAAGATCCACTGCGGCGCGTAAGTGGGGGGCGATGGCAGGAGACAGCTTCTGAGCCAAGATGTGAGGCCAGGGAAGGGTGCCATGTGGGCATGCCAACTCCAGGGGGCCAAGGTGTCTTCACCCCCCCCCCCCGATATTTGTTTGAAGGGGACCTGGCCCCCTCAATATCGAGGACGCAGCATCACGGAAGGCAGCACTGTCCTGCACACTGCCAGGAGACAAGTGTGACGTCATGCGCGTGCAACGTGACCCCCTTAATCTTGGGGAGAGCGGGCACCTCTGCCCCAGATGTGCCAAGATGGCCTGACCTGGGGTAGTCAGCCTTTTTATACCTACCGCCCACTAATGCATCTTTCTTGAGGGTAAAATTTCCTTACCGCCCACCAGTGCCCAATGGAAGGAGGGTTCTGCTTGTGCCATAGAACCCCCTACCGCCCTCCGAGAATCCTGAAACGCCCACTAGTGGGCAGTTGGGACCAGGTTGACAACCCCTGGCCTAACCAAACCGCCCTAGAAACAAGTAGGCAAACAGCACTTTCTGCACCTACCAGGGATTTGCAACTGGGTCACACACACCTGGTTGCTGATTCCTGCATTTCAAGGGGTTAGACTGGATAATTATTATTATTATTATTATTTATTTATACCCCGTCCATCTGGCTGGGTTTCCCCAGACACTCTGGGCAGCTTCCAACACAATATTAAAATACAGTAATGCATCAAACATTAGAATCATAGAATCATAGAGTTGGAAGAGACCACAAGGGCCATCGAGTCCAACCCCCTGCCAAGCAGGAAACACCATCAGAGCACTCCTGACATATGGTTGTCAAGCCTCTGCTTAAAGACCTCCAAAGAAGGAGACTCCACCACACTCCTTGGCAGCAAATTCCACTGTCGAACAGCTCTCACTGTCAGGAAGTTCTTCCTAATGTTTAGGTGGAATCTTCTTTCTTGTAGTTTGGATCCATTGCTCCGTGTCCGCTTCTCTGGAGCAGCAGAAAACAACCTTTCTCCCTCCTCTATGTGACATCCTTTTATATATTTGAACATGGCTATCATATCACCCCTTAACCTCCTTTTCTCCAGGCTAAACATGCCCAGCTCCCTTAGCCGTTCCTCATAAGGCATCGTTTCCAGGCCTTTGACCATTTTGGTTGCCCTCCTCTGGACACGTTCCAGTTTGTCAGTGTCCTTCTTGAACTGTGGTGCCCAGAGCTTCCCTAAAAGCTTCCCTAAACAGGGCTGCCTTCAGATGTCTTCTAAAAGTCTGGTAGTTGTTTATTTCCTTGGCATCTGATGGGAGGGCGTTCCACAGAGCGGGTGCCACTACCGAGAAGGCCCTCTGCCTGGTTCCCTGTAACTTTGGCTTCTCGCAGGAAGGGAACCTCCAGAAGGCCCTTGGAGCTGGACCTCAGTGTCTAGGCAGAACGATGGAGGTGGAGACGCTCCTTCAGGTATACTGGACCGAGGCCATTTAGGATGACCTGGGGGGGGGGGGCGGAATCCCTTCCAACTCTACAGTCGAAGGATGTGGAGGGTTAGCTGTGCTCCCTGGACAGCTCTTCATGGCCCCAACTGGGCAACTCAGCTTTTGCATCTCTCTGCAACTCCTCCTCTGCAGGTGGGTTTGCTACCAGTACCCCGGCTACCGCGGCTACCAGTACATCCTCGAGTCCGACCACCATGGCGGAGACTACAAGCACTGGCGGGAGTGGGGCTCTCATGCCCAGACCTTCCAGATCCAGTCAGTCCGGCGCATCCAGCAGTAGGCCTGAAGGCAAGTGCGCACGCACACATGCACACCCTGGAACAGAGCGTCAGGGCTGCAAGTTGCCAGCGCAGAAGGGAGGACTTCGTTTTTCACCCCACCTCCCCCCAGTTCCCCCCACAGGTGCTTAAACCTCTCTCTCTTTTTTGCTCTTGGTCCTCTTGGGCTGGGGGAATCCTTCTCTCCAGCATCTTCCTTGCTGCCACAAAGAGGAAGGAAACACTTGGGAAGGAAATGTGTGTGTGTGAAGCAGGAAGCACTTTGTACATGCTCTGGTGTCAATGTGTTTGCGCAAGATGCACAGGGCGCTGTAGGCAGGCAGAAAGACGGCAGCCTAATGTTCCCTGCATGCTTAAAAATAAAGCCAGGCTTGTGCTCAAAGCAGGGGTGATTTTGTATGATTTACATTTTACGTGATTGAAAGCTGCGGTCAAAACATGTTTTGGAAACCTTAAAATAGAAGCACCTCCCTCTCTGGCTAGGGACAATAGGCTCCACCCACCCACCAGCACATATTTTCAATTACAGTATCGAGGGCTAGAAACTTGAGCAGTTTTAAAAACGCACACATGGAAGGTGGGAGTCTTGTGAAGCTGAATCCGGCATCCACTCTAGCATTCTATACAGATGTGCAGCTTATTTCAGACAATACACCCGAGGGTCTCTTGAGCGTAGATTTTGCCAACTGCAGAGGGGCTACACAAAGTCACCTTTAGGTGGGGCTCAGACACTAGTAGGAGCCGCTTAAGCCAGGTGTGAAGAACCTACACAGCTCCAGATGTTGGGACTGGCATGGCTATATGGGAAGGTGGGAGGGAGTCCAGCAACATCTGGAGACTATGGGGTGGAAGGGAGGAGGAGGCAGGAAGCAGAGCTAGGAGGCAAAATGTTTTTCCCCACCCCCAATGAGATACTGCTTTGTTTGCAAAGTTCACCACAGCACCATTGGCCAGCCATTCTCCTAGAAACAGAAATTCTGTCTTATTACCTCCAACATCACCACCCGAATGGTATAATTACCTCTAGTGAAATTATCACCAAGAACAGGACTGGTTGGAAAATCATAACTGAAAAACAACAGACACATGGAAACTTGATTTTTATTTTTTTTATTGAACATTTTACATCCTGTAGCATCTCTTAATTTATTTTGTTCTACAACCATCTCTCCATTTTTAGTTTTCTTCATTAAAATATAAAATAGATTCTTTTTAGTGGGAGGGGAAGTTTTAAGAACTGTTGTGGAATAGCATTTTTTTTAAAAGGGAGGGAGGGAGAAGCTGAGATTTTGCTTCCGTTAAGTGACAAAACTGACCTAGCCTGAGCAACTGCATGGAGGCGGATTGATGGACTGGTGAAATTTGGCTGGTTCTGGGTCTGATACCCCCACTGCAAACCTCCTCAACAAAACCCACCAGTTCCTCCAGTCTGAGAAGTAGTGCCCTTTTTACAGCTGGGCACACAGCCCATTCCTATCCACCGTGAAACATTTGGAGAGAAGGAGAGGGGAAACGGCAAAATGCTCTGGCCTTTTGGCCAGAAATGTCTCTCCAGTCTTGGTGTTATGGAATAAGAGAGCTCTAAGCAGGTGGATTTTTTCCTCTTGAAGAACAGGGAGTATCTCACACATACAATCTAGGCCAGTCTGCATCGCTTTTTGACCCAGTTCTTTGCAAAGGACTCGGTGGTATTTTTCAGGTCAAGTGGTCTCATGTTCTGGGGCAGAAGCAAAAATAAAGCCCCCCCACCCCCCACAAGGTCTTGCTCTACTGCAAAATGGCCAAGCAGGAAAGGTGAGAGTGCAGTCAATGCGTGCCAGTGCTGTGACATCTCAAGATTTATAGTAATAAGGTTTGTGGTTCAATGGGAAAGAAATGAAGCGGCAAGTCAGCCCCCCCCCCCCGAGTCTGAAGCGAACCAGGCAAGTGTTGGAACCAAGTTTTCAAAGACCCTGTTTCTGGGGTGGGGTGGGGTGGGGTGGGGGAGATGAAACAGGAAGGAGACTGAGAGGGTCACTGCAGAAGATGCAGACAGACTCTTCAAAAAGGCAGTCCCCAGCACTGCCACTTTCTCTTCACTCGGCACTTTGCAGAATAGGTTGCAGTCAAAAGGGCAAGAGATCCGTGCAAAATATTGAGGGCCAAGGTGGTGTCAGGCTTCCCAAAATTCAAACACCCTCCCCCCCCCCATCACATATGTAAAAGATTAAGTTACAGGTAGGTAGCCGTGTTGGTCTGCCGTAGTCGAAACAAAATAATTTTTTTTCCTTCCAGTAGCACCTTAGAGACCAACTAAGTTTGTTATTGGTATGAGCTTTTGTGTGCATGCACACTTCTTCAGATCCACGCACACGAAAGCTCATACCAATAACAAACTTAGTTGGTCTCTAAGGTGCTACTGGAAGGAATTTTTTTTATAAAAAATTAAGACACTGAACTATGAGCGTTTGCAGATTCCAAAACGGTTTGCGTTTCCCCTCCCTCTCCAGGAAGGGCAGAGGGACTTAAGGCAGCTCACCAACAGGAGTCAAGGACAAAACTTAAAAGATAAGATTTGGAGCTGTACATTTAAATGGGCCTTGAAGGACAGGAAGGAAGTTTGGAGGGCAGGCACCTCAGCAGACAAGAGGCAGAACACAGCAGCTGTGACTTAAGTTGGGGAGCTACCCCAACATCAGGATTTAGAAATCACGCAGAACTGGGGAGCAGGGAGAGAGGCCACCAGAAACTGATTCATCAGAATACAAGAGAATGCCCCCTTTAACACTTCAACACACAACACTGAAACACCTGCTTCTCAGAGGCACCCTGAACTTGCAATCCTTAAGACATGCTTCACTAGAGAGTCCCATGGAACTAGCAGAGATGTGCAGCAGATCAGCTGGTGGGGAAGGAAATAATTTCCCAGAAATTCTGCCATTTTATTTTGCCCGCCTTTAAGAGTGCAACCTCTCCGGCACTAATCAAATGGAGCTTTGGCGACAACCAAATGTGCAAAAGCCATTGGAATAATAATAATCAATGCATGCAAAGGTGTTCCACTCTGTATGCATCCATTAGGAAGTGCCTGCTGGTCCAGCAACCTGTTCTCACAGTGGCCAACTAGATGCCCGTGGGAAGCCTGCAAGGAGGACCCAAGCAAAAAGCATTCCCCACCCGCCATGCACCTGGGAATCCATATATAGGGTGGGGGAGGCAGGAAAGAGAAAACCAAAACTATGCCGTGGAGGGGCTCATGTTTAATTCCGCAGATCATGATGTCAAGGATGCAATTAGCGTCTCTCCAGGTTTCATTTCAAATGCAAAGTGCATTTTCCTCCTTTTCTCTAGTTCCCACCCCGAAAAGCAGCCACCTGACCAACTGAATTAAGAGCCTGCACGGAAAGTTGGGCTCGGAAACTGTATTAGATGTTTAATTTAGATGCACACCACTCTGCAGCAAGCAAAGAGAGATGTAAACCTACACCTCCTGGATTCCAAAACATGTTTTCTCATTATACAGGATGCCATGTTTCTTGCCCCGAAACACAAGAGGGAGGGAGGTAACTCATGTCGGTTAAGAAAGCCACCTTCTTGGATGTAAATCTGTGTGCAAACAAATCCCAGTGGCAAAAAAAAATACTCTGGACATAGCTGTCAACGTTTCCCTTTTTTAAAGGGACATTCCCTTATTCCGATTAGGATTCCTCGCATGAAAAGGGAAAAGTTGACAGCTATGACTCTGGAGACTCTGCAAAGGGGCATCAGATGCCCCTACAAAGCTTGAGGACTACTGACATGAAGTGGGGGTGCCAATGAAAGAACTAAAAAATACAGCCGCTTTATAAAGACGACAGAATGAGAAGGCAGGCAAAGAACAAACAGATCAGTGGAGTGCCACACACACACACACACACACACACACACCAGATTTGTGTATTGGAGGGTGAGGGTCAGAAACCTGGAGGGTGCGGAGATCACATCCAACATTCCTCCCCATTATTCATTTTTTAAAAAGACTTTGACCATGAAGAGGCTGTGGAAATCTTCCCCAGCGCCTTGCCAGCTCTGGAAAAGGTTTGGGCTCCACCAGCCTGGACTCTGAAGCCAACCCAGAAGCTTCAGGAATTTGGGGGAGTCCGGAAAAGACATCTCAAGAGGCTCTGGAACTAAAATGCAGTTGGTTCAATCAATCAACCAACCAGCCAACCAACCAATCTCCACCTAGCATGTTAGTGGTCAGCAGCATGTCCTACCAGCCTCAGAAGCCAGCATGGCCATGGTCAGGGAGGACAGAAGTCCCACCAGCATCCTGGACTGACAAAGATTCCCCGTATCAGTGACAAGATTGATGCCCCAGAAACAACCCCCAGCCAGATCTGGAGATCTGCTAGAAGAGAGCAGAGTAACTACACATTACTTGTCACGATGCAAGAAAAATAACAAATTATCTTAATCCAAGCGACCATGCATGGGAAGGTGATCTGAAGCAATACTGGTGAATGAATTGCAAAAAGTATTTTCAGTGCTACTCCTCTGCCCCCCCCCCCCAATAATACTTTTAGAATGTGGCTTGGCAGCAGGAAAGAAACCAAGAGTGACAACAATAGGATGTGTTTGCATCTCCATTCAAGGCTAGACTGGTTCATTGCATTTGGCTATGGGGCTTCCTCCCATCACCGCTCCCCCCCCCCCACTGAAAACTGGAAATATTCTACACTTTCCAAAGAGGGCTTCACACACCAGAGCAGTCAAATGTGGGGGCGCCCAGGGTTGCAAAGGTGGCATTGCTTAAGGACACAGGAGGCTCAAAACTGTGTTAAACTGACAGCTCCATGGGAACCCTGGGAAACGCAGCCTTGTCAATAGGAGCTAGGGAACTTCCAAGTTCCTTTGGTACCCTTGCAATAAGCTAGCCGTTTCCAAGGGTCTCAGGCAAAAGCGGAGGCCATTAAATGCATTTTGAGAGCCATTTTGTTTTGTTTTTAAAGTTTGGCATCTTTGGTAGCCCTTGGTGCAAAAGCAGTGTCCTGGGGGCCAGGAAGCCTTCAAATTTAAGCAAGCCTTAACAGACACCCCTCTTATTGTATTTTTGGCAGAGATTTGGATTCGCAGGTTCAGCACCTCACAGCCTGATGAGAAACGTCTTCATATGCCAAAAAGAGAAACCCTTAGCAAATAAAAAATTTAAAGCTTTTAATGAGCCTTGTGCCTTTCTTTTCGGACTACAACTCCCACCAGCCCCGGCAGCTGATGGGAGTTGTAGTCCAAAATATCTAAAGGGTACCAGGCTGGGGAATTATTCCAGCAGCTTTCCCCCCTCCCAAAAAAACCCCCACCCACCCCCGTCCTTGGTATTTGCAACACCTACGAAGTTTGTTTTTATGATAACTATTTTATAATTTTAAAAAAGAGCGTCAAGCAGGCTGGACTATCTTCCCAGCACTTGAACGGGAAAGGGCAGCCAGTACTGGGAAGGACAGGAAATCTGCAAAAGCTTATATGTAATGTGGAGTCCCGTCCCGGCCCCCAGAATGATATGGATTTCAAAAACCCATCAAGGCCGATAAGAGAAGCGGAGTTAAGAGAACAATCTAGCCAGGTACAAAGCATGGTGCTCAACAGGAATCGATATATTTGCCACTGCCTGAAAAAGCCACCAAGACCTTTGCTCTTCGGAAATGAGAGGTCTGCAGCGTCGCAAGACACCAGGGGTGGCTCGGTTTTGTAGGCAGCACACAAACTCTCTTTCTGGGACTCCCGCCACTGCCCCTCTCTCCTCTAGAAGCAAATTCCCTGCTGCAGAGGTGATGAGCCTGTGGTCCGCCCAGAGATGCTGATGGACCAGTTCCCGTCTTCCCTGGCCACACAGGTGGCTGGAGCAGGCAGCTACAGAGTACACATACACACCTGGCTTAGCAGTACACAATAAGCCTCATAGACAGGAGCTAGTAGGGCAGCTTCAGGGACCAAGCAGGACAGAAGGACCTGACTTTCTGGGGATGCCAACTCTGGTTTAGAAAGTGGCCCATTCGGCCCCATCCTGATCACTGCTCAGCTGCCGTGCACCCACCAGCACCTGTGAAGCGCCCAGCCTTTCGCCCTTGCAATTTCCCAACCCGACCGCCTCTGAACAACCAAATTCCTAGGTTCAAGCAATGAAGCACAGAGGCGCCTGGGGTCCGTCCCCCCAACATCTTTTGTCTCCCATAGACTTGCACATATTGGGGGATGGAGAGCTGGCTGTAGGCAAAGCAGATCAACGGAGCCACAAACGAGAGCCGGAAACTCTGGCTGGAAGCTAGAAACTTGTCGGTGCAGGTAGTCTCAATTTCTGTTTATTTTTTTAAAAAAAAATTCTACAGGTTAGCCAAGGGAATGGCATCTCGACAGCCTCCTTTGTACATTTTTATCATCTCCGTAGGAGCATCCGGCTGCGATGCAAACACAACACCTGTGCCCCACAGCATCGAGGAATTTGTTCTCCCCCGATCAAAATATTTCCAGGGTAATGTCCAATAGATAAATCCACTCTCTTCAAGCAAGGCCACATCCTGTCCTATCCTGTCCTATTCCCACCCCTTTGCCCCAAATACTGACAACCAGAGAGAAGGGGATTTAGAGAAAATGGGGGGGGGGGAGTGAACACCTTCTCCCCCTTCCAGGCACATCACACAAAGCCATCTTGCAAGCTGGGGGATATCACATGAATTCTCTCCTCTGCAGCTAAGAATAGGGTTGCAGTTCCACCTTGGGGGCCACATGCGTTGAAAAAGACACTAAAACCTTGACTCTCCTGCTCCCCATTAAAGATGGTGGGCTGTACTCGGAGGAAGAACCGGCGAGTCACACTTGCACACATTTTGCCTGTTATTTGGATTACGGCACGGCTGCTGCGGAAAACCTTCAGATCTGCTGGACTACAACTCCCATCAGCCCCCAGAAAGCACAGCTGATGGACAGGGAGGATGAGAGTTGGCAGCCCAACAATGCTCTTGTTAAGCCACACCAGCTTCCCCAGATGTTCCAGACTACTTCTCCCATCAGTCTAGCACGGGAGCCGTAGGTCAGCACATCTGGAAGGCGCCCGGTCGGCAGAAGACCGGTCCGTGTATTAAAAGCATCCCTTCCATGTGCTGCCATCAGGAGCAATGGGCCCTCTGACTCCCAACATCCCTGGCCACGCTGTCTGGGGCTGATGGGAGTTCAGCAACACCTGGAGGACTGAAGGCTCCCCACACTGGGGCTACATCCCTCACGGCTCAACTTCCTTCCCACCTACGTCTTTACACACAAATAAAACCGAGGAGGGAAGAGACTAAATTCTAATTATTAAAGAATGTCGAGAACCTTGGGAAGAGAAAACTCCCCCCTCAAAAAAATGGGAAGGTTTAAGGGGGCTGGGGGGGGGAGTTTGGGGAGGAGGCAGGAACATGGCACCCACAAATAAGAGGACCCCCCCCCCCAACATCTTACGAGGCCAATCAGAGCATCAGAGGAAAGTCACTAGGCAGCAACACACCAGCCTGGGCTGGAAACTGGTCAAACCCCCATTGGGATTTGGAGGGGGGGTCTTATTTTAATTTTAAGGGTGGAAATTTAGTAACAGAATGGAGAAGGCAGCTGTTAAAAAAAAAAAAGGAGGGAAGAACACATCTAGGAAAATGGTTTTTTTTTTTTGTGGGGAGGGGAGCTAGCATTCTTTAAAAAAGGGCTTCACTTGCCAAGCTGATTGAAACTCTTACGGCATTGCTAATGAATTTGGAAACTTGAATTTGCTTTGTTCATTGTCAAGGCAAGGGTCGACTTTCTCTCCCTGTCGTCGTATCTCCCTTCGTTCTACACCTTTCTCAGACAGCCAGTATCTATAGAAAACAAGCCAAGACTTTGCTGTTAACACTTCTATCTATGGCTGAAATGAAATTTATGTATAAAGGTACCCTGAAAAGGACTTTTACTTTCCTGGTGTGAAGATAGGAATAAGGTTCTGGCTGCTGAATGAACCTTTTCACTTCCACTAAGTAAATCTGTATAAAACTCACAGATGTATTTTTATACCAGTTGTTTAACACTTCAACTATGAAATTTTATTAAATTCACGTGATTGCTTTAAAAAAAGGGGGGGCTTCACTTTAGATTTATTTTACTTTTTTGGCCAAGAGCAACTTGCAACAGAAGCATCCAAGTTGGGCGTTTCCCTCTCTTTCTTAAAAGGCATTTTAAAAGGACACTCCAGTAGTTTTAGGGATAGGCAGTGGAGGCCTGAGCAGGGCAGGGGGCTGAACTGGGGCCTGCCCCCCTCCTCAACACCTATCCCCCCCCAACAAAAAAATGGGCCACACTGAAGCAAGATGTACCCCCACCACCAGATCTTTGTTGAGTCCACTCTGGGGAATTCTCAGAAGAGCAGACCCCCTTCCATGGGGCACCCAGAAATTGATTTGTTTTTGGGCAAACCCTTTCACATAAAGGGGGGCTCCTGCTATCTGCGCCTCCAAAAAAATTAATAAATCACAGCACGACCGCCTTGCCAAACTCCACAGCTTGCCCCCTTGCCAGCCCCACCCCCCAAATTTGGATTTCTGCAAAAGGCAAAAAAAATAAAATAATGACTTTATTAGAGCTTTCGACACCACACTTGCAACCTCTTTCCGTTTCTGCTCTTGCGGTGAAAAGCTGGGGGTGAGGGGGAAGCAGAAGCAAAGCCCAGATCAAAATAAAAATAAAAATACAGACAGCGGAAATCCATTAGAACAGGCCTCTTGATGTCAGACCATAAAAAAAACATTAATTGCCTGAGGAAAATGAGCTGGGGGGGGCGGGGAGAGAAATAGTGAAAGGTAAGGCCTGGTGGGTTTTTTTTTTTTTTCCTTTTAGAAAAACAAATTCCCAGATAGGAGTTGTAATGTGTGTAAACACATACACACACACCACAGCGTTATTTGGAAAAGTTAGCAAAGGGCAGGGGGAAGAAATCACAATTTCCTTACGTTTCCAGCTTTGCAACAGAGGACTGACAGAGAACGGGAAAAATGAAAGGATCATCCAGGGGGAGAAAAACTCAAGAGAGCACCTATAGGCTGAACAAACTGCTTCGCTGGCTTCTTCCTGGGGATACAGTGCCAAGCGGCAGGAACGGCAATTTTAACCCCCCTGCCTTTGCCATCGTTCCCTCCCCCCCCCCATCCAAACCTCCCAAACTCCTGAACCGCATCTTTAAAATAAAATTTAAAACTCTTCTGGCGTTCTGTAAAGTTTTGGACGGTGGCCGTCAAAGATGACACACTCCCCCCCCCAAAAAAAACCCCATCATAACCGAAACGGCAGGTGTATGCAGATGACACAACTGTAGTGATAGCATCTTTTTGGTTTCCCCTGAAGGAGAGCAGAGGGGAAGACGCAGGGATTTTTAAGACCGATTTCCCCTCCATATCACACCTTCACTTCGACAAGGGGTGGGGTGGGGGGGAAGAGATAACCCCCCAGTGCCCCAAGCCCCCCTCCCCCAAATGACCCTGCAGTTTTCGGATTCCAGTAAAACCAAAAGCAATGGAGGGAAACACTGGGGCGCAAGGGGAGGAAAACAGAGAGGCTTCCCGGAGACTTAGTGTGTCGTCAGCGATTGCAGACTCCCGGCAGAAAAACGGCTGGAGACCCCCCCTCTCCTGCAGATGTCCAGAACCGTGCAGGGGGGGCAGTGTTTCTACCCGTTAAGAATTCTTGTCCGGTTTCGCACAGGGCGGTGGCGGGAGAAAGAAGCAGGAGTCTTTTGTTGTAAGGGGAGAGGGCAGCGGAGAGGACTCAGAACCGAAGTTTTAAATAATCCCGTAACGCGAGTCTCTGCCAATTCCACGTGAAAAGTCTCGCCGTGCCCGCAGGCCCCTGTTTTCAATTTGTTTTAAAATAACTAATATATATAGATTTATATATATTTATATATATATATAGATTTATATATATATATAGATTTGTATATATTATCCTGCGATTCTAGTTCCTTTTTCGCCGCCCCAGAACTGCCGCCACAGCCACTCACTCTCCTGGATGTGTGAGGAGCTGCGAGGCTCACGGCAGAGAGGCAACAGCGGCGGCGAGAGAGTCAGCGGCCGTCCACGGCTCCTATCATTGGTCGGGGTGATCCATGGCTTCGTCGTAAGTGATTATCCTTTTGGGGTCTGGAGAAAAGGGAGAGAAACACAGCGAGTGTCAAGTCAGGTCCTCAAGCGCACAAACTACCCACGTGGTCCCCTTCCCCACTTAGATCTGGGGAACTGGCCCTTTATGCATTCGTAGGAAACCAATCTTTGGAACTCCCTGCCAATTGATATCCCCGTATGCTCTTTCTGACGCCCGCTGAAAGCATTTTTTTGTAGGCAAGCCTGTCCAGACATGTTGACATGTGTTCCATTTTCTTTTTATGCAGTTTAATCTTTTTTATTATTTTTCTGCTTTGCCGGCGGCCTCCCACCCCTTCCCCCTTCCTTACGGTGGCTCAGGGGAGGCTTGGGAGCTGCAGTCGGGACAGGCGCTGTTGTCCTGCACCCCCAACAGCCCTTGTGGGCAGCTGCTATAGCAGCGATACCATAAGGTCGCAAATATAAGCCGCACTTTTAACTTTTCACAATTGGAATCTGGGGAAAAAAGTGCAGCTTATATTTGGGCCAATACGGTATAAAAACCGCTGCGAAAATGCTTTTTTAAAAAACGTTTTGAAAAATACATTGAATTTGGCATAGCTCACCATCGCCATCTAGTGTCACATTTGTATAATGGCACTTTTGCTACTTTTTTTTTTTTTTTACAACACACCTAAAACGTTTTATTTGCAGCTGTACCGCAGAGTCCTGATTTTAATCATTTTCTGTGTTTCAAATGATTTCTTTTAATGGTTTGGGTTGATCATTTTGTTGTATCATTATTCTTGCAAACCTCTTCTGCTTTTTTAAACCAGCTAAACAATGAAACCTCCCCCAGGAGAATTCCCAAACACTGGTTTGTGACGGAGTCTCTCTCCCTCTTGGAAAAAATCCCATTATCCCTGGGTTCAAATTTATACAAGTAAGGAAGCCCTCTGAGCGTCCCAATGGTCTCAGCCTGATCTACACCACAGGGCTGTTTTTGAGGGTAAATTACTGGGGGTTTTTTTTAATGGAGTGGCCCTCCCGATGTTGCTGAATTGGAATTCCCAGCATCCCTGCCCACTGGTCATGCTGGAAGGCCACAGTCCCCCACCATAAGCAGCCGAATTTCCACACAACTCCCCCTACACAAAATAAATTAACCGGCCCTTCCTTCGCAGCGGGGCAGATGCAAAGCAGATGTCGTGGCCGTCAAGAGATTCTTACCTTGCTTTTTCAAATTACAAATTGTTTCCATTTCTGTGGAGAGAGAGAGAGAGAAGAGGGGAAAGTTAAGTATTTCAGATTCGGATCTTTGTGGAGCATTCGACAAAAGGATGTTTCTTCAAGCAATACCCCCCCCCCCCAATTTCAACAGGATTCCTGAGGCACCAAGCACCCACTTTTATTTAGCTACACTTAAAGGCTCTCTGGTTTGTCTTGAAGAAAAGGGTCACCTGCCCAGAGGAAAGCAATCTAAAAAGTTAAAAACACACAAGAATGATAAGGAAGGCAGCCCTGTTTAGGGAAGCTTTTAATGTTTAACTGACTATTGCATTTTAATATTCTGTTGGAAGCCGCCCAGAGTGGCTGGGGAAACCCAGCCAGATGGGCGGGGTATAATTATTATTATTATTATTATTATTAGGGGTGGGGGAGAGGGAGAGGACCCCAATTCTGCAATCTGCATCTCTGCAAAACTGGCACCCCTCTTTTCCAGCCCATCTTGGGGCTCCCAGCTCCTGCTAGCTGGCATGGCCAGTGGCCAGAGATTATGGGCGCTGAGAGTCCAGCCGGAGCCAGGGAGCGCCAGTTTGCAGAAGGCTGCCTTGGCTCGTATGCCTCCCAGAATCATCAGTCGGAGGGGACCCTGTGGATCACCTAGTGCCACCCCCTGCCACGCATGGAAATGCAAGCATGGCGAGAAAAAGACACACAAACGCCCTTTCCCCAAGTCTCCCTGGAACCTTGAGGACTAGGCGCTTCGAGAAAGAAAAAGAGGCGTTGAATGAATGGCATTCTACAGGCTGAACTGCCCACACCTGCTAACTTCCTGGCCCGGGTGTAAGAAACAGGGGGTGTGGCGCTGGATCAGGCCACGGGGCCAGGTGGGAAGAAACTGTGTGGCACCTCCTGCCCTTCTGGGGAGCATCTCTGAGCAGCTGCTCCATTTGTGCCACAACCTGCGAGTGGCAGAGGGGGAACCTCAGCAGCCTCTGGACTGCAGCTGCCACCACATCCCTGACTGCAGCCAAAGCTGGCCCCTGGAAGGATGTCAGGAGAGCAGAAAGCTCTCCGCCTTGGCTGGTTTTCCCCTCTCTATCCCACACTTTCCATCTCCCCCAGATTAGCAGGAGAGAAGATGGGAAGAGGGCCTGGCTGCTGAATCAGGCCAGAGGGTTCTAATAATAATAATAATAATAATAATAATAATAATAATAATAATAATTTTTTATTTATTCCCCACCCTCCCTGGCCAGACCCAGACCCAGTAAAATTACAATAAAAACATAAGGGGGGGGGACAATTTAAAATACAGGTTAAAAATGCAATTTAAAATGCAGCCTCATTTTAAAGTAGCCCATAGATCAAGACCATAAAGGGAGGGAAACATAAGGGTCAGACTGAGTCCAAACCAAGGGGCCCTGCGGAAAGATGTCAAGTCCCGCAGGGCCCTAGTCTCTTGTGACAGAGCGTTCCTCCAAGTCAGGGCCACTACAGTGGTACCTCGGGCTACATACGCTTCAGGTTACAGACTCCGCTAACCCAGAAATAGTGCTTCGGGTTAAGAACTTTGCTTCAGGATGAGAACAGAAATTGTGCTCCGGTAGCGCAGTGGCAGTGAGAGGCCCCATTAGCTAAAGAGGTGCTTCAGGTTAAGAACAGTTTCAGGTTAAGAACGGACCTCCGGAACGAATTAAGTACTTAACCCGAGGTACCTGTACTGAAATGGACCTGGCCCTAGTTGAGACCAATCTATCCAGCCCAGAAAGATTGGAAAGCTGCTGCTGGTCAGAGTCAAGAAGCCTGGGGTAGATGGGCAAAAGAGTGATCACACCTCTTGGAGGCAAGATGTTAAACTGTTTTTATATGCAACAAGAGCGGCAAGAGTCTTGTTAGCCCAGAAGTGGAAGCCAGAAGGAATTCCGACGAAAGAAGAATGGCAGACGAAATTAATGGACTACGCAGAATTGGACAAAATGACAGGAAGGATTCAAAACCTGTGGGACCAGAGATTTACAAAAGATTGGAAGAAACATATGAACTATTTGAAGATCAATTGTAGCCAACAAATTACGCTAGTAGGACTACAAGAAGTTTTGTAAGGAGAAACATAAAAAGTGTTACAAAGTAGAAAAAGAGAGAAATTTTGGTCATGAGTTTTAAATGTAATAGGGAAAGTAAGAAATACATCCTAATAGATTAGATTGGGGAATTTTCAAACAGGACTGATGGAAGTCAAAAAATTGAATAAGATGTAAAAGTATGTTTAATTATTGTTGAAAATGGTATGCTAAAAAACTAATAAAAAATTATATATATGTGTGGGTGGGTGGGTGATCACGCCTCTGAGAGGCAGCAAAACACCACTCAGCAAAAGAGGAGTGCTCCGATTTTATTTCTGACCAGCCTGTTAGAAGGGGAGCAGCCTGCGTTGTCCAAGATTTGGAGAGGAAGCCTTCTCCTCTTCTTCCTCCTCCTCTACTGGGTCCTGCCTTGGGCAGCTTTATTCATGAAGAGGCTGCTCAGCTATAAGGCAGCAGCTTCCTCTTCCCAATGGGACGGTCGAGACACAAGGCACTTCAACTCTCGCGCCCCCTGCCAAGGGCTCAGCCCCGGCTGCGGTGCTTCTGGCAGATGCCCTTGAAAAGAATCGCTTTGGGAAGGACCCAGGTGCCAAGGTGGCGTCTCAGAGGAACAAAGGGAGCGGCCTTAAACAGAGCCTAGCTCAGCATTGTTGACACTGACCGGGTTTCAGAGACGACGCCGGGAACTGAACCCGGGACCTTCAAAGCGAGTGCTCTGACGTCGGGCTGAGGCCCTTCTCTTAATGTCAAGGGCTGCTCCGCATGCAAACCTCCCCCCGTGACTCTGAACCACCTCGAGTGTTGCTATAAATACCCACCTCCTTTTTTGCGTGTGTCAGATATTCATAAGAAACGTATCACTACGCAGTTTAGAAAAAGAGCGGATGTGGTGAGCTTAGACCCATTCACAGAATGGTAGAGTTGGAAGGGGGCAGTGCAGGAGTCACAGCGACCCAAACTCTCTCTTGTTCCCTAACAGCTTCCATTATCCCAGATGTTGACAGGACTCCGACTCCCAGTGGCCAGAAAAGCCAGGGACGGTGATAAAAAGGAGTCAGGAGACCAGAAACATCTGGAGGGGGGTTGCCACCTCTGGCACCCCTGCCCTACGGCCCCCGATCTGCAAAAACTGTTAGTGGTGGAGCCATAAACCAGCTAGCACATTTGCAAAGCCAAGTAGGGTCTGATATGGTTTCGAATTGGATGGGGGACCTTGTGCTGAGATTCCTGCAATGCGCTAGATGCTCCTCGCGGTCCCTCCCAATTCTACAAGGCTACGATTCTAAGCCTTGCCCGTTTCTGCTGCCAGGGAAGAGAACCTCCATGTCTGGACGCAGTCTACCTTACGAGACCAGCTGCTGTAGTTCAAAAGGACAACTGACATCTTTGCCCCGCTAATGAGCTCCCCAGAAGCACCCCTCTGCCCCTATCTGGCAGTGGACGACATCAGGGGTGGGGAACCTGCATGCCCCCCCCAGGTGCTGGGACTCCAAATCACATTTGTGAAAAATGGGAGTTGTAGTCTGGTGGCGCCTGGAGGGGCTGCCAGACACTCTCCCTCCCTAATCTCAAAGGAAGAGGATAGCTGAAGATGCTCAAGGGGGCGTCAAGAGAAAGCAAGGCTCTCCCCCCCCCCATTCCACCTGCAAAAAAACCCTCCTTCCAGGTGTGGCTGATGGGAGTTGTAGTCAAAAACACCCAGAATGTTGTCAGCTTGGCAGAGGCCACCATAAGAGAGCAGCGAGGCCACCTCCATGGCTGAGGGGGGAGGTCCTTTGCAAACTGCCACTCCCCCCCTCCTTACACTACTGAGGCTTGTCCTGGACCCCCTGAAAAAGACAACTTTAGAACCAGATTTTCCCCGCACTTGGGCACCTAAGCAGCTCCTACCATTGGTGAGTTCTGCCCCCTGGAAATCACTGCCGCTCCTGTGAGACCTGGGGGCTGCCACAAAACACAGCAACCCCTATTTTCACATCTTTTTGTTGTTGTTTTTTTGCAAGGAAAGTGGGCCCAGAAAATAAGGAGCCCCTGCTGTCTTAAGTACTTATAGCCTTCCTCTCTTAACGTTTTCACTGGGATTGGGACAACGAACACGTTGTTGTGAAATGCTGCAAGCTACAGTACGATTTTTACTGCATGGTATTTGCATGGGGAGCCGTCTTGGGGGGTCTGCAAGGCAGCCTATAAAGAACTAACAGCGTAACGCAACACCTGGATAGGAAAGGAACAGGTGTTTTCCCCACATCCTTACGCTGCAGATGTTGGAATGGCATGGGGCAGGAGAATCGGGTGGGACGGGGGACAAGACCGTGTTGGATATCTCTCTCACACACACACACAAATACAAAGGGGCAGGGGAGAAATTAAAAAATGAAAAAATAGGTATGTTAACAATGCTCTAGCAGCCTCAAATAAGAAGTGAGATGCTTCGACCGTCCATTTTCTCAGACCGACACTCCAACCAGACACATAATCTATAAAACCATTTATCTTCTGACATCCGCACGGCTGTTTCTCACCACAACACCCCCCCCACTTCGATATTTCCCCCTGACAAAAAGTGCCCCAAAACTAAGTGAGGTTTGTCTCTTTCCTCCTCCCTCCCAGCCCATTTTCCTTTCGTGCTGCGTCCTTTGAGATTGTAAAAGGCCTTTTTTTTACTTTACTTTTTCCCCTGTTAATAAAAAACCGTTCCCCAATCCCACACTAAATCCAGACAGAACCGGAGGCTGAAGCAGGACACCAACGTGGACATAGATTTACCTTGAGTGTGATATAGAACGGCTGCCCTCAGGTCAAAATCACCCCAACTCTCTTTCCTTCCTAGGCCACTCTGGCACCTCAGTTCTTTGGCGGAAACTAACAAATGGTTCGTGGGCGAGGCCAGGCGCCTCTCTACGTGGCAGTCCTTGGAGAGGAAAACAAAGCTGCCGCCCGCTTCGGCCTGGCACTGCCCGCCGGGCCGAAGGGGCTCCGAGAGGAAGCCGCTGCCGCCGGCTGCCTCGCCCGCGGCCGCCAGCTTCAGGATCCTGCCAGGCAGCTGCAGGCTAGTCCGCTTGTCCAGCTCGTAGGCCTTGGGGAAGGCGGGCGGTTCGGGCCCCGAGGGAGCTGCCTCGGACCCCGGGGACGCCAGGGCGGCCGGGCCCTCCCCCTGAAATGTCACCTCCACGGCCTGGGGGCCTGCCGGCTTCCTGGCACCCGCCTCTGGGCCGGCGCTGGGCTCGTTGATGAACGACAACCCCCACTGGTTCTGGAAAATGTCGCCCAAGCTCTTCTGGCTGGCCTGAGGCGGCGGCGGCGGCGGCGTCTCGGCCTGCGCGGCGGCGCTGAGGAGAACAGCTTGCATATTCGACGGGTAGATGAACAGGCTGGATTTGGGCGGCGGCTCTGCCGGGGCGCCCCCAAGGCTCGCCACGTCCAGGGGCCCCGCCTCCGAGGCCGAGAGGACCCCGCCGGGCACGAGGAGGGGCTGGGGTCCCCGGTCGGCCCCCGCCAACACCGGCCCGTTGGAGAAGCCGGCCGAGGTGACGGATTTCATGGCGGACATGGGGACCTGCGAGAGGCGGCCAGGAGGCTGCGGCTGGGTTTCAGCGGCGGACGACGAACACAGGGAGGAGGACGAAGACGAGGACGAGGATGAGGAAAGGGTGGGGGAGGAGACGCTCTGCACGGCGGCCTTGTTGAGGTTCTCCTTGACTTTGCTCGCGTAGCTGATCTTGGGGACGATCTTGGCGCTGCTGTTGTCCACCGGGAAGACGGGGGGAGGCTTGAAGAGCGTCCAGGAGTCCTCCTTGGAGGAGGCTGCCGGCACGTGCTTGCCCTTTGGCCGCTCCTCAAACTTCTTGCCCGCGGCGGCGCCGGCCTTACCGTCCGAGTTCTTCCGCGACGGCACGTCGCCCGGCTTCCCGCGCCCGGTCCCCAAGCCCCCGGCCTCGCACTTCCAAGCCGGCTTGGGGGCGTCCACCCGGCCCCCCGCCTTCGCCTCCCCGGCCTCGGGCTCCTGCTTTGAGGCTGCCGTGCTGGCCGAGGGTTCGTGGGGGGCAGCCTGCCCCAGGCTGAGCGCCTCGCAGCCCTTGGCGCTGTTGCGGCGCCCCTTCCGCTTCTTGGGGGTGGTGTAGCTGCTCTCTGAGCCGCTGCCGTCGTTGTCGGCCCCCCTGGCGACGTAGCCGTTGGCGATGTACCCCGTGGAGACCATGCCGTTGGGGATGCAGAGGGCCTCTGGCTTGTCGGGGGACCGGCCCTCAAAGCCTTTCTCCGGCTTCTTGTCCGCAGCCCCTTTGGGGACAAAGCCCTTGGGCTTGAGCCCCAGCTTCCCAAAGGCACCGCTCCCCTTCACAGTCTGCTTGAGCGCCAGGGCGGGGTCTCCGGGAGTCTGGCTGCCGTTGGGGACCCGGGAAATGGGGCTGGCTGCAGCATCGCCCCCGTTCAAGCTCTTGGGGGGGGACTCCCGCTCTCCGACGCTGCCATTGAGCTCGCCGTAGCCTAGGAGGAAAAGAAAGGAAGAAGCGTTAAGGTCAGAAGCTGCGCTGTGTTCATATCCCACCTAGACTGCCCTCTTGCACGCTTGCAACTGGGACTTTTGGGGTAGACTGCCTCTGTGCCTGGAGGCTCACCGCGGTCATCGCCCGCAAGTGGACACTTGCTGTAAGCAGGGCTAGAAATTAGCCAGGCACCAGGTGCGTTTTGCAACTGGCGTGGGTCCAATTGCAACCCTTCAAAGATCCCTGGATGCCAGGTTGGCAGCCGGGTAAAGCAAAATGGATCCGAAATACTGCCCTGGAAGCTTGAATTTGTTTTATTCCGGATTGTTTCATTTGATGTTCTAGCGTGTTGTCAACCGCATTGAGATTTGTACTTTAAAATATAAAGCGGTATAGAAATGGAATTATTATTAATACTTCCAACGTGAAAAAAACTGGCACCTAGACATTCCATTTATGGCAACCATAACCTAGGTTTAACGTGCTATTTGGTATCAGGTTATATATCAGTTTTAACACTGGCTGTAAGCTGGTTGGGTCAGACTCACAGGGGAGGCAGCATATTAAATAAACTCAGTCCATCAAACATTAATGTTATTATTTGTGTGTGTGTATTCAAGAATACCTGGGTGCAGAATGATACAGTGCCTGCCCTCCACCCTAAGGTGCCAGGGTGGGTTACCACAAAAAATAATCATAATTGCACTTACCGTATTTTTCGCTCTATAAGACGCACTTTTTCCCCTCCAAAAATGAAGGGGAAAAGTGTGTGCGTCCTATGGGGCGAATGCAGGCTTTCGCTGAAGCTATCCGGGCTTCAGGAAGCTATCCGCTAGCCATGGGAGACCCAGCTCTCCCACGGCTAGCGGAGACCTTGCCGGCACCCAGAAGCTTGGGGCGCGCTGAGCTCCGCACGCCCCAAGCTTCGGGCTTAGCACAGCGCACCTGGAGGGGAAATAATTTTTTTTCCCCTTTATTTCCCCCCAAAAAAACTAGGTGCGTCCTATGGGCCGGTGCGTCCTATGGGGCGAAAAATACGGTATATTTCACCTTTTTCTGTGAGGCAAGGTAGCCTATGCGGTTCTCCCTCAAATTCTTACACATGAAAGAGCTAAAAGTTGCTTTTACTCCTGTTAGAATACCAAGCACTCCAATCTATGTGCTCAGCACCCAGGTAAGTCTGTTATTTATTCATTTTCCCTCAAGATTTGCACCGGGGGGGGGGGAGGCGTACGATAGGAGCACGGACCTCAATGGACCACACAATGTGGATGCGCCAAACCAAATAGATTCACAGTAGTAAAGGCACTGGGGACTTCAAGCCTGGACTACTGCAAGGCACTCTACGTGGGGCTTCCCTTGCACCTGATCTGGAAGATGCGGTCAATGCAGAACGCTGCAGCACAGTTGCTGACCGAAGTGAGACCGACGACATGCGCTCAGAGATCTGCGCTGCATGCCTGCTTGCTGCCAGGCCACGTTCAAGGCGTGACTATTAGCAGACAACGCTTGTGTCAGCTTGGGACCAGAGATCTCCTTGCCCCATATAAGCCCACTTGACAGCTTCGCTCTGCAGGAGCGGCCCTCTTATGGGTGCCACATAATCCCCGTCCCACATTAGTGTGGCAGCCCCTACGCTTTGGAACTCCCTGCCACTTGACACAGCCCTCGCTGTACTTTTCAGCAACTGCTCAAAACATGCTCATTTAGGCAAGCCTATCCAGAAACGTAGAACGCCTTCGTGTGTATTTTAGCTTATCACTAATTTTATTTTATTAATGTTTTTAAATGCTTGTTTTTTAACTGGGGTTTTTTTTGGGGGGGGGGTGTTGCATCTCCAGCCCTCTGGCAATGGGGCCCACAGATTCCCCGCGGACTGCAGAGAACTTGGGGGCAGAACTTCTGTCTTATGCCGAGTTCCGGAGTGGGTGGAAACATCTGCCTGCTCCAAAATTCAACATGACTCAAGAGATTCCCCCCACCTATTTCCCCCCCTACAAGGTGGGAGCACAACTCTGCTGCGCCAAGCACAATGCCAAAACCCTCCCAACTGATGGAAACAGGGAACTTTTGGTGCTGAGACGTGGCCCTGCTGTTCCCAAACAAAAAAAATTATCCATTCCAGTTAGGGCCGGGGAAGACTCTGCCTGAAACTCTGAGAGCCATTGCACTGAGCCAGGCGGACCAACAGCAGTCACGAAATTAAAAGACCCCTGTTTCTTGGGAGAAAGGTGATGACAAACCTAGACAGCATCTTAAAAAGCAGACATCACCTTGCCAACAAAGGTCCGTATAGTTAAAGCTCTGGTTTTCCCAGTAGTGATGTAGGGAAGTGAGAGCTGGACCATCAAGAAGGCTGATCGCCGAAGAATTGATGCTTTTGAATTCTGGTGCTGGAGGAGACTCTTGAGAGTCCCATGGACTGCAAGAAGATCCAACCTCTCCATTCTGAAGGAAATCAGCCCTGAGAGCTCACTGGAAGGACAGATCGTGAAGCTGAGGCTCCAAGACTTTGGCCACCTCATGAGAAGAGAAGACTCTCTGGAAAAGACCCTGATGTTGGGAAAGATGGAGGGCACAAGGAGAAGGGGACAACAGAGGATGAGATGGTTGGATAGTGTTCTCGAAGCTACCAGCATGAGTTTGACCAAACTGCGGGAGGCAGTGGAAGACAGGAGTGCCTGGCGTGCTCTGGTCCAGGGGGTCACAAAGAGTCGGACACGACTAAACAACAACAGGCGGACCAACTCTCTGTGTACTCTGATCAAGGCAGCTTCCTGCGTTCCTGGATGCACCTAGGACCTTGTGAATTCAAAACAGATGCTCCACAGCTTATGCGGGGAGCTTTCTTACGCAGAGTAGATCCATGGGCGGCTCAGCACTGTGTTTACTGGAGATGCCATTAGGGATGGAACAAAGAGCCTTCTGGTTGCCAGGCGGATGGTCTCTACCCCTGAGCTATGCCCCTATGCCAGGGGTCAGCAAACTTTTTCAGGAGGGGGCCGGTCCACTGTCCTTCAGACCTTGTGAGGGGGCCGGACTATATTTTTTGGGGGGGGGATGAAGGAATTCCTATGCCCCACAAATAACCCAGAGATGCATTTTAAATAAAAGGGCACATTCTACTCATGTAAAAACACAATGATTCCTGGACCATCCACAGGTCAGATTTAGAAGGCGATTGGGCCGGATCCGGGCCCCGGGCCTTAGTTTGCCTACCCATGCCCTAAAAGGTAAAGGGACCCCTGACCATTAGGTCCAGTCGTGGCCGACTCTGGGGTTGCGGCACTCATCTCGCTTTACTGGCCAAGGGAGCCGGCGTACAGCTTCCGGGTTATGAGGCCAGCATGACTAAGCCGCTTCTGACAAACCAGAGCAGCGCAAGGAAATGCCGTTTACCTTCCCGCCGGAGCGGTACCTCTTTATCTACTTGCACTTTGACGTGCTTTCGAACTGCTAGGTTGGCAGGAGCAGGGACACGGGTGGCGCTGTGGGTTAAACCACAGAGCCTCTTGGGCTTGCCGATCAGAAGGTCGGCAGTTCGAATCCCTGTGATGGGGTGAGCTCCTGTTGCTCGGTCCCTGCTCCTGCCAACCTAGCAGTTCGAAAGCACCCATGCCCTATGCTCTCCAATTCCTTCCCACATACAAATACTACGCGAAGGCGCAAAGGAAACTGGAACTGCAGGACGAGCCCTTATTTTAGTTCAGCTGGTTAAGAGCAGGAGACTCTTAATCTCAGGGTTGTGGGTTTGAACCCCATGTTGCGCAAGAGATTCCTGCATTGCAGGGGGTTGGACTAGATGACCCTCAGGATCCCTTCCAACTCGACGATTCCATGATCTCTGTGGTAACTGTAGAGTTTGAAAGGATCCCAAGGTCCATCTAGGCCTAACCTCTGCCATGCAGGTATCGCAACCTTCCAAGGGAGTCTGTTCCACGGTCAAGCAGCTAACTCTTAATTTTCTGCATGTAGCTATAGCCTTATAATACAGGAGAGAGCTATGAGCTGATGATGCAAGCTGCCCCCTGTTCACCACCGTCCCAAGTGGTCCATCCCAAGAACTACGGACTAAGAGAGGGGACAAAACACCTCTGAGCAGCAGAGGCTGCTCCCAGCTCCAACTTTAAGTGGATTAGGCCAGGGCACCAGCCATTTCCACAGCCTGGAAACTGCTAAGCACGCAGAGAGTCGGCTGGCGATGGATCTTTTCTTCCTGTTAATATTTATTCTGCCACTGCTGTTCTTTAGAAATGTTTAGAGAGGAAGAGAAGGCACTTGGGCATAGCAGTGTTGCACTGGGGGAAGGTGATGAACCGGTAAGAAACTTAAGAACCTAAGGAGAGAAAACTACCAGGATCAGGCAGAGAGTAGCCACTGTGGCTAAGCCATTAATACCCCTCCCCTCCCCTGATTTGTCCAATCCTCTTTTAAAGCCTTCCATGCCCAGGCTGTCACTACCTCCTGTGGCAGCGAGTTCGAAAGTCACCAAACAGACACCGCAATTCAGAAATGCAGAACTTGGGAACCAGGAGCATCAAAACCCCATCCCATTATTATTTTACATTCTGGTCCAGATTTTCCAAGTATACAAACAGAAGACGCCCTTGAGGCAGGGTTCGAAATTAGCAGGGCGCCAGGCGCATTTTGCGCCTAAAAATTCTCCATTTGCGAGCGCCTCAAAAAGACTGGGCGCCATTTTTTTGCTCCTGGCTGACACTCCAGGATTACGGAAATGTAGGCCCTTTGAAGCCTCGAAGTAACTGTTAAGGACAGACAATATGTCAAAGAGTTTAACAATAAAGAGTAGAGTGTTTTGAAAACTGAAGTACGGTACCAGCATTTTTATTGTCAACACCAAATTAAACATGCGTTAACAATTTCTGCTAAAAATGTGATACTAACAATGTGTCGCTTATGTCAATTGCGAATTAATTCCTGCTTATCAAAATAATAAATAAATAGTTGCTGACTCCCCGCCAAAATGGCAACTAGACGTTCTGTTTGGCGCCCACAACTCAGGTCCCAGGAGCCATTTGGCTCCTAGCTTTTCCACTCTAGTTTCTAACACTGCCTGGAGGCCTGTGCAGGGAGGCAGTGACCCTCCAAGGTGTGATGTTACTACAACTCCCATCATCCCCAGCCATTCTGGCTGCTGGAAGTTTGAGTCCAACAGCATCTGGAAGGCCACACAGGTCGTCTCCCCCCCCCCATCCCCGAGCTACAGCCCTTTCCCCTCAAAATGCAGCAAGTTTCCAAACCTGATGGCTCTGAATCAAGGATTAAAATAGGAAACCGCCTTATGCAGAGCCCATCTAACTTGGTACTGTCTACACTGGCTGGCAGCAGCTCTCCAGCTTCAGAAAGGATTCATTCCCAGTCTGACCTGAAGATACAAAGGACTGCATCTGGGACCTCCTACATGCAAAACAAATACTCCAGCCCTGAGCTATGGCCTTTTCCCAAATGCCACTGGACTTCCAAGTACCTCCATCCATGACCACTGGCCATGCTGGCTGCTGGGAGCCCGAAAACATTCCAAGGATCTCACAGGGAAAAGACACCAATCTTTTCTCCACTGGTTTTCAAACTTCAGAGAACTGGAACCACTTCTGCATTTATCCATCATCCAGCCCGGACACTAAGATCCAGCACTGAGGGCCTTCTGGCAGTTCCCTTGCTGCGAGAAGTGAGGTTACAGGGAACCAGGCAGAGGGCCTTCTCGGTGGTGGCGCCCACCCTGTGGAACGCCCTCCCAGCAGATGGCAAGGCAATAAACAACAATTTTACTTTTAAAAGACACCTGAAGGTGGTCCTGTTTAGGGAAGTTTCTAATGTCTGACGCTGTATTGTTTTTGATATTTGGTTGGAAGCCTCCCAGAGTGGCTGGGGAGACCCAGTCAGATGTGCGGGGTATGAATAATAATTTATTATTATATTATTTAGGAAACCAAAGACCTGCTACAAATCTCAGCGCACTGCAAATGATTCTAGGACGCATTCTGCGGGGTGCAATCCAAACAGTGTGGAGTTTCCCCACTAAACCAAGGGTGCGGCCCAGAACACATCCAAGACCTCACCTGGAGTACTGTGTCCAGTTCTGGGCACCACAGTTCAAGAAGGACACTGACAAACTGGAACATGTCCAGAGGAGGGCAACCAAAATGGTCAAAGGCCTGGAAACGATGCCTTATGAGGAACGGCTAAGGGAGCTGGGCATGTTTAGCCTGGAGAAGAGGAGGTTAAGGGGTGATATGATAGCCATGTTCAAATATATAAAAGGATGTCACATAGAGGAGGGAGAAAGGTTGTTTTCTGCTGCTCCAGAGAAGCGGACACAGAGCAATGGATCCAAACTACAAGAAAGAAGATTCCACCTAAACATTAGGAAGAACTTCCTGACAGTAAGAGCTGTTCGACAGTGGAATTTGCTGCCAAGGAGTGTGGTGGAGTCTCCTTCTTTGGAGGTCTTTAAGCAGAGGCTTGACAACCATATGTCAGGAGTGCTCTGATGGTGTTTCCTGCTTGGCAGGGGGTTGGACTCGATGGCCCTTGTGGTCTCTTCCAACTCTATGATTCTATGATTCTATGAAACCGCATCTCAGCGCAGAGAGCCAGCTGTCCAGAGAGGACAAAAACTGGCTTTCGGGACGGCCACCTCTGATGAGCCCCAGAACCCAGTTTGAAAGCCAGGGGTGCACCCATGACTTGCAGGTATGGCAGCACCCTCTCCTTTCATGCAAAGGGAAGGGTGCCAGGGTTGACTATGTTGACGGATGTTGAGATTCCAGCGGGGGGTGGGGAGAAGAGACTTCAAGCCCCAAATGCAGCAGTTATGTGGCCACAACAGTCCAGCGGCAGTGTGGGAGATCAGCCCATGCCAACGCAATGGAGGGGAAATCTGTGGTGTGTGCAGGGCAAATGGCAGATGTTTGTTCTGGAGGGATCTCCTCCAACTTTGATGCAACATTACAAAGGTCAAGAGGCCTGGGAAGGGTGTCTTTTGCATTTGGGAAAGATGAAAGTACTGTAAATCGCTTAGAGGTGCCTCACAGGAAGCTATTCTCAAAGGAAAAATAGAATAATAATAATAATAGCCAGCCACCTTGGACTCCTTTGGGAGGAATGGTGTGATATAAATTGAGCAAGAACTTAAGAAGAAAGAGGCTGCTGGATCAGGCCAATGGCCCATTTCAACCAGAATCCTGCTCTCACTGGGGCCGACCAGATGCCCATTGTGGGAAACCCACAAGCAGAGACTGAGAACAAGGGCACTTTCCCCTCCTGTGGTTTCCAGCGACCGTAATCCAGAAGCATTGCTGCCTCTGACTCTGGAGACAGGGCAAAGCCACCATGGCTGGCAGCATTCGATATACCGTATTTTTCGCTCTATAAGACGCACCAGACCACAAAATGCACCTAGTTTTTGGAGGAGGAAAACAAGAAAAAAAATATTCTGAATCTCAGAAGCCAGAACAGCATGAGGGATCGCTGCGCAATGAAAGCAGCAATCCCTCTTGCTGTTCTGGCTTCTGGGATAGCTGCGCAGCTTGCATTCGCTCCATAAGACGCACACACATTTCCCCTTACTTTTTAGGAGGGAAAAGGTGAGTCTTATAGAGCAAAAAATACGGTACTTTCCTCCTCCATGAATTTGTCTAATAGTCTTTTAAAGTCACCTCGGTCGGTGGCCATCCCTGTCTCCTGTTCCATAGCTTTGACGCTGCGCTGCGTGAAGAAGAACTTTCTTTTACCTGTCCTAAATCTAAATCAGCTTCACTGGGTGTCCACGAATTTCAGTGTTATGAGAGACGGAGACAAACTTTTCCCTATCCATTTTCTCCATGCTGGGCATAAACACATAAACTTCTATCATGTCACCCCTAAGCTGAAAAGCCCCAAATGCTGCAACTCCTAGGAGTCTCGCTCTATCTCTGGATCACTTTGGCTGCCCTTTTCTGAACAGCTTCCAACTCTACAATATCCTTTTTGAGGTGAGGCAACCAGAACTGCACACAGTAAATAAATATTAATGTTATGAATGTCACGAATAAGATCCAGGATCTCTGGTGGACCCTCTGTTGGGATGCACAAGCTTTTGAGCTTCCCAGAACTTTCAAGGATGCAATATGTTACTGCATCTTTTTAACCTACCGTATTTTTTGCTCTATAAGACTCACTTTTTCCCTCCTAAAAAGTAAGGGGAAATGTGTGTGCGTCTTATGGAGCGAATGCAGGCTGCGCAGCTATCCCAGAAGCCAGAACAGCAAGAGCGATTGCTGATTTCATTGCGCAGCGATCCCTCTTGCTGTTCTGGCTTCTGAGATTCAGAATTTTTTTTTTCTTGTTTCCCTCCTCCAAAAGCTAGGTGCGTCTTATGGTCTGGTGCATTTTATAGAGTGAAAAACACGGTACATTGTCTTCGACCTGTGAAGGCCTTGGGATGACAAACCTTCCACATGATGTTGGACTACAACTCCCATCATCCCCCACAGCGAGCAGACCCAACGGTCAGGGATAAGGGGAGCCATGGCCCAGAAACATCAGGAAGGCCAAGGGTTCCTCACACCTGCACAAAGGCGAGACGGGGCCTTTTCAACGGCAGCACCAAGTCTTTGGAGCATCGTCCTGCTGTTAACATTTTACTGTGGAAAACAGGCTTGCAGGCCTGCCTTTTTAAGCAAACCTTCAGGTCAAATTAGCTTCACTGCTGCAAAATTTTGGGGTACAAAATTTTGCTTCTGCCTTTAAATATTGTTACCGTGAACCATGTGAAGAGTTACTGACCTATAAACAATATATAAATTTCTGTTGCTATTTGTATTACTATTTCGTACAAATACCCATCTGTGTGTTCGCGCGCATGCTGGTTCCTGACTAAAACAACCCAAAAGAGAGGAATCGAATCAAAGATTTCCCCCACAAGTCCTCTTCTGTCCACTTACCAAAGATTTATTTGGAGAGACAGGATGGGGAGAGTTTTCTACAGAACAGGGACATCAGTGTCCTCACACCTTCCTATCCATGAAAGGAAGGTTTTAATGGATCACTAAAAAGGGAGAGGGAAGTTTACGGCTCCTGGACCACCGTGCACACCTCATGTCTGGGGGCTCACTATTTCAGAATTGGTCACTTATAATGCCCATGAAGAGAACGCAGGGAGGCTTCATTCAAGTTTTTTGCCAGCTGCAGGGTAAAGATCTGGACCACGCAAAATCTGGCCAACATCCTCCGCAAAATGATTTTAATAGGAAATGCCCCATATTGTATTGGCTTGAGGGACATAACTGAGAGTTGGGTTTGTTTCTTAAGCATTCATGTTTTCATACAAAAATACTATGGGAAGTGGTTGCCTCAGCTGAAGAAAGCAGCTGCCCTACAAGGAATTTCATCTAGGGCAGGGATGTCCAACTTCCAAGAGTCTGTGATCTACTCACAGTATTAAAAAAACTAACAGTGATCTGGCCATTGTCATTGGAGGATGGACCAGAGTTGTTGAACTTTTTGGGGGGAAATCAAAGTTCTTGAGCTTTTTTAGGGGGAGCGGGAATTGACCTAGGAGGTGGCGATCTACCTGGGACACCCCCATAATCTATCAGTCTACCTGCTGGACATGCCTGATCTAAGGGGAACCTGGAGACTTCCAGATGTTGCTAGATCACGGCTCCACCATCCCCGAACCACTTGCACACTGGCTATAGGAAGCCCAGCAACTTCCAGGGGGCCACAAATTCCTCTGATCTGGCCCAGAACTGTCCACTCTTCCAGGCAGCTAGTGCTCAAAACATTTCAGGAAGAGGCATCCCTTGGACCTGCTTAAGGGTCACATCCATCCCCCAAAAGAATCCTGGGAACTGTAGTTTGCAAAGGGTGCTGAGGAGACCACCAGGAGATCCTTCCCAGAATTACAACCCCCAACATCCTTAACAGACCACAGCTCCCAGCATTTTGGGAGGTGGGTGGGATGGAGAGGGCCATGACTGTTCAACTGGTGAAAGGGGGCTTTAAACTCTCTGTCCAAGACCTGCCTCTCTCCCCATGGCACCCACAGCTCAAGTCCTTGCTATACATTTGGGGGCTCTGGTACCCACACAAATCTTCCCAGACACTTCCACAACAAAAGCCCTTGTGGCACTGTGGCTCAAGCAGCACACTAGGTCTAGGAGACCTGGGTTCGAATCAGCCAAGAAGCAAATCTTTCTCTCTCTCACACACACACACATACCCAGCCTCATTGCAAAGCTTTTGCAAGGATAAAATACAGCAAGAATCCCTAAGCTCCTATGAGTGGGGTAGTAACAACTATGGAACAAATCCATCTTGGGAGGTGGTGGGCTCCCCTTTGCTTAGGCTTGGCCACCCTGGTGCCCCCCCCAGATGTTTTGGACTACAACTCCCATCAGCTGCAACCACGTTAGCCAAGGCTAAACCAGATGACCTTTGGAGCTCCCTTCCGCTTGCACGACATTATTATTAGGGAGAAGTTGTTGATAATTAGAAGAAACAAGCTGTTGCAGGTTAAAAGCACTGGGGTTCAAAAATCACCCCCCACAACGCTAACCAGGTGACCTTGGGAGCAATCACCTCTTCTTTCTAGCTAGGCTACCTGGCAGGGTTGTTAGGAGGGCAAAACCGGGTGAACATAACACACGACCCCAAATCCCTTGCAGGGGAGGGGGAGGCAAGACTTTCAACCATAAATCTTAACTAAGCCCCCCCCCCCAAAAAAAAACCCTGCCTGTCCTTCGCAGGTTTCCCGGTCTGCCTTGCGCCCCTAAAAACCCACCCCGTCTCCCCAAAAGAGAGCCCCCTTCCTCCATCCCGCGCCCCACCCCAAAACCCCTTGTTGCTTCCAGACATCCTCCCGCCGCCGCCCCCCCAAAACGCACCCAGCCCCCGACCCCGGCGGACAATGGCGCGGAGCCGGCCGGGGCCCATCTAGGCCCGAGCCAGGCCAGGGCGGTGGCGGTCTCGGCGGCTCTCCTCCCGCCCAACATGGCGGCGAAGGCCCCGGCGGAGGAGAAGGCCCGGGAAGGAGGCGGCCTCGCCGGCTGCCAGGCCTCCAGAGCACGGGGTCCCTCCTGGCCCCCCGAAAGGGCCGGCAGGAGGGAGGAGGCCTGGGCGGAAGACCCGGGTCTCTGCGCTCCGCTGCCGCCGCCTCTTCCCGGGCCCAGCCAAGCCCGCCCGTGGCCCAAGACCCCCGCCCCAAGCAGAGCCACCTCTTCTCCCCCAGGCGAGGAGAAGCACCGCGCTCGGGCCTAAGCGAGGCCGGCCTCGCCCCAAAAGTACACACTTAAGCCCCCCAAATACACACGCCATCATTCCCAGCCCCCCAAGCCATGGTTCACATATCCCCAGCCCCCCACTCACCGGCCCACGACTCGCCCCCCACCTCCAACCCCGTCCTGGCTTGAGAGTCTCTCTCTCCCGACCCCCGGCAAAATAAGAGATATTTGGGGGCCACCAGAGGGACCCCAGCCCTTCTTGGTCGCCCTAAACCCCCTCCCATACATTAACTAAGGGTCGCTCCTGGCTCTGACTAGGGGTCCCAGATATTTCCCTCATCTCCCCGCAAAAGGTGTAATGTTGTGTCTGCGGCACGAAATGCGCCCGCCACCAGAAATAATCTGATTTTTTTCTCTCTCTCCATCCCCAAAACAGCTCCCACATTTCAGGTTGTGAAGGTCCGAGTGTACCCTGTTAAAAAGTGAAAGCAAATAAAGACCCTCTCTACTGCCTTCCCGATTCAGATCCGGGATGTGATTTTTCCTCCCCAAAAAAACAAGAAACCACGAATCCCACCACCATCCTGGTTCTGGCCGGGATCCAGTGGGAATCTCCCCCTCCAAAACCTTCCTGGTAGCATATTTTTATTCTTCTTGTCCCCAAAGAACGAGCTGCCTTCCCTCCTCTCCGGCCCCATCCGAGGCAAGCCGAGGGGAGACCGACGCCGCTCAAGGTCTGGGGTGGCGAGGCAGCATGGAAACACCCGGGTCTGGCTCCCCCCCCCCCCCAAAAAAGGCCCAGATCCATACCCCCATCTACTTCTGCCCCCGAAAAAAAAGCAACCAGCTCTCATCCGATATCCAAAAAGCGCTTTCCTCCCTCTTGGCAAGGGGGTCCCCCTCGGCTTCTCCAAAGCGCGCAACACGCCCGGAGACCTCCAGCCGGGATCTCCCCCCCCCCCAAAAAAAGAACTCGGAGGTCAAGCCGTTTGGTCCCCCTCTCAAAGCCCCCCGTCAACCGCCCGCATGCCTTGCCCCCCCCCAGCCCCGATATGTGCGCCCCCGACCGGCGGCGCCGCCCTCTCCACCCCTCGCCGGCTTTTTGCGCGCGCCCTGGGCCGCCGACCTGCTTTCTTCCTGGGCGCGTCGGGCTGCTGGCCTGCTCCTCCTCCTCCGGCGCCGTGCTTGGGCTCATGCTTGAGGGCTTGCAAAGGCGCCTTCGGCGGGGCCTTGGCGGGCGCGCTGCCCTCGGCCAGGTGCTGCTGGTGGTGCTGGTGGTGGTTGTGGTTGTAGTAGTAGTAATGGTGGTGGTGGTGCTGGTGGTGGTGGTGAGGCGCCTGCTGCTGCTGTTGCTGCTGTGCTGGCTGGTGGCCGGGCTGCTCCTCCATTGAAAAGCCACGGGGCCTCCGGATGATGATGGCGGCGGCGGCGGCTGGCTCTCCCCCCACCCCCGATCCTTCTGGCGCCCCCCTCTCTCCGGATCCTCCCTTGGTTGGCTGCACCGTCCGGGAAAAGGGGAGTCTCTCTCGGCTCGCGCGCTCGCTTCCCGGACGCCCCTGCCCACAGCCCGCCGGGGGGAGCGCGGCGCGCAACAGCCAGCCACCCAGCCCGTCTGCCGCTCCGCTCCCGGCCTGGAAAGAGCGCTGGGGGGGTGGAGGGGGGGAATCCAAGCGGACTGACAACCGATCTCCAGCAATCAAGAAGCTTCCGGGCCTCGCTGGCCCCGCCCTAGCCAGACCCCCCCCCCTTTGGTTTTTTGCGCCCCCTTCTTCTCCTCCGGTATTACTTCCCAAGTGCCAAACTCCCTCCTCCTTTCAGCACCATCATTCTTGGCACGGGCTGAGGGGGGGTGTCCTTCTCGAGGTTTTTTTCCCCCCTGGGCTTCCCGGGCTGCTTTCTCCGGCCAAATCCAACGTCAGCACTTCGGAGTCTCGCCTCCTTCTTCCCCGGCAAGCCGGCGTTGGCGAGGCGGCGGCGGCGTTGGCGGCGGCGGCTCCCCTCGATCCGGCTCTCGCTTCGCCAAAGGCGCTTTCGCACGCAGCCCCGCCGCCGCTGCGCGCGCTCCCGAGCCCGGCCTGGGTTCTCCCCGCCCCCTCCGGCTTCCCCACCCCCCCTCCGCCCGCCTCCTCCCGGCTCCAGGAAGGGAGACGTGGAAAGCTGGGAGCGGACGGGGCGCCACCCGCGCGCGCGCTCCTGCCGGCTGCCTCGCCCGCCCCGCCGCTGCCGCCGCCCCTTTCTGGAGCTTTCGGGGCTTTGCTGGCTGCCGGGATGGACGCGGCGCGGCTTGGGTCTGCAAGGAGGAGCAGGAAAGAATAGAAAGTTGACAAAAACAAGGGAACCCAAGGCGATCCTGAGAGGAAAAGGGATCCGGGTCTGTTTTGCAATCCTCTGTGGTCACGATCAGGGTTTTGTCCATTTCCCTTTTCCGGAATGATCAGGGTTTTGTCAATTTCCTTCCTCTCTCTCTATATATATCCACACAACCACATATATTTATTCCAGAATGGGAATGGGACATTATCCTGATGTGTGTACACGTGTGTACATGTGTGTATGCTGTTATTATTATTATTTTATTATTACTTGGTCTTTATCGGTCACTTGTTATCTAATAACGTCTCCAATAGACTTACATTTATTATTGTTATTATCATCATTATTAATTATCCACCCTACGCCCCTAAGGTCCAGGGCGGGTTACAAGTAAAACACAAATACAGTACAGTAATTAAAACAGTTTAAATAACTTAAACAAACATGTATGTATATGTGTACGTGATATATAATTTAATTATTTGTATTTATCTATTGCACTTCTATCCCTTTTTTTCCCTTCAAGGAGGTCAGGGTGGTGCATACTTGATTCCTCCCCCTCAATTACTCCCCACAACCACCCTGTGCGGGCAGGGACTGACCCCCAAGGTCATCCTGGGAGCTTCATGGCTGAGAGAGGGATTTGAACCCGGGCCTCGTCCGACACTGGCCGCTGGCTCTTCGACTGTGTATATGCCTGCAGACTAGGCAGAATTCAGCACGCATCCTGCTCCGTCACGTGTGCATTGTGTGTCTCCTTACCCGGGAGTAAACCCCACTGATCTCGGGGTAGGCAGGCCTAAGAGCCCAAAGTTTAGGTGAGGCGACTTCGAAGTCAGCCCCTACTGAGTTCCGGGGGCCTTTAATCCCAGGGAAGCTTGGTTAAAGGATCGTTGCACCATGAACACGCGGGCCCAGGTTTACTGAACTTGTTTTGATCCCTGCTCCTCTCCAAGAAAAAAAATCAGCTGGATACTCTCTTCCCTTTTTTGTTGCCAGGGTGAACTTAGAAAGCGCCTTGCGGCCTTTCCTTGCTCTTGGAGTTGGAGCCAATGCGAGCTCTGCTCAGAGTAGACTCATCGGAATGAATGCACGTTCCAGGCGCCACTGATTTCCATGGGTCTACTCAGTTGGGCACAGCCCTTGCTTTCATATTTTATTCCCTCTCTACTTTATTTTCTTGCGCAAAGAGGCGCAGGCGGGCTTACGCGCGAGGAAAAGCGGCAATATATGCAGACGTACAGTATTTGCACGTTTCCAACACGGGCACGCCAAACTTTGCAAGCGCAGATTTGGGCGGCAGGGGGCGCTTCCCTCCCTCTTGCCGTCCTAGGAGTGACTTGTTCTGAGCCCCCCTCCCCTCCCTCCCCAGCCACCAACCTTTTGCCAGTCTTGGCAATGGATGGTCTCATGCCCTAAATCCGGGCGATGACCTCACTACCGGAGCTGGGATCAGGAAGGAGCGACACTTCCCGGAAAGACACGTGGATCATCCAAGCAGCCGCTCCCCCCCCCCCACGCGATCTTTATAGATCCACACGCGCGCGCAGGCACGCTTAACCACGCAAGAGATGCTGCTTTGGGAAAAGCAGGAGGGGAGGCGCACGAGGACCCCCAGGAAACAATAAAGGGAGCTGCGAATTAATTAATTGATTAATTGCCCGCCCTCCCTCTTAATGTCCCAGGGCGAGTTGCAACATTATATTAAAAACAGCTTATGCCCTTTGACGTAAGACAGGGGGTAGTTTTCCAACTACTTAATACCAGCTACAAGTAAAGCCAGGAATGGATATAGAGAAGGAATGGTCACCAAGGCAAACTTAGCATTGATCATAGAAAAATAGAATTGTAGAGTTGGAAGGGACCCGAGGATTATCTAGTCCAAACCCCTGCAATGCAGGAATACACAGATAATAATAATAACAACAATATACTATTTATACCCTGCCCATCTGGCTGAGTTTCCCCAGGTTTCGAACCTGGAACCTCAAGTTATCAGCACCATGCTGTAACCAACTGAGCTATGTTGTTTTTTTGACCAGTAATACAAAGTTAAGGTTGCCATATTTCAAAATTTCCTGCAAAGTTGTTTGCCTTTTTTTAGGAAGACCCCAAAATTGTTAAGCTTTTGGGGGGGAACCTCCCCCCCCCAAAAAAACAGTGATTTTAAACTTTTAGAGCGGTTTCCGATTGGGCAAAATTCCCCCCTGACCCTGATGCCATTTTTACACCCGAAAACCAGGACATGTCAGGAATTTTCCTGAAGTATGGCAAGCCTGATGAACTTTGGCAAACATATAAAACAAAAGGGAATGGGATGGGTCACATGTTAACCTCAAATTGATAGTGGAAATATGCAATTTATCCATTTGTTTTCATGTTTATTTCACCAGTTTCTATCCAGCCTTGTGAAACATTTCACACAAGGTGGCAAGCAATAATAAATATATAAGAGCACAACATGTAGTAACACAAAATGCTCTTTTGCGGGGGGGCAAACCTCACCATTGGAACTCCCTGCCCATTGATATTCGGAAGGCACCTTCAATGAATTCTTTGCAGCACCTGCTATCAACATTTTTTCCCAGCAAGCCTGCCAAGGCATGTGATTTCACTAAGCCTAAGATCCAGAACATGCCTACACCATTGGGTAGGATTTCATTCCTTATGTGTCAGATTCAAATATACAAAACTCTCTTCCACCACAGAATTGCATAATTTGGCTGTTCACTTTGTGTTTTGCTGCTTTCATTTTTCTTCAAAATATGCACTCTATTCATTTGGAAAATATAACCTCTGTTTTGGACCTTTGATTTCATTTTTTTTTCTTGTTTAGTTCAACACAATTGCTGGATTTATATTTTACTTTTCTAATCTTTTTATTGGTATTTTAAATGCCTATTAAACACTGTCTTGTAAATAGCTTCGAGGTCTTCTGTTCTAGTAAAACATGTATTTTGCACAATACCCTCCACTGAGTATTGGATAAGTAAAATGTGGAATTATGCTATTAAGACAAAATTAAACACATCATGAAACAAAATTAAACATGGCTGTATTGACTGGGGCTGATGGGAGTTGTTAACAAGTCCAAAATTTCTAGAAGACATTCTGCTGTTGGAGTTATTTAATTTCTTCCAAACCTATTTAGGACTACAATGATCTACACTTGGGACAGCAACTGTATTCATTTAGGGCTACAATCATATACATAACCGTGTTTATGTAAACAATCTTACTCAGCTACGAGTGGTCGCCAAAGAAGAAGGAATAAGTCCTATTCTTACCCCTGAGCCGATATGTACACAATTGCCTTGCCAGTTTGTGAGTTTCCATCAGTTACAGTGGTACCTCGGGTTAAGTACTTAATTCGTTCTGGAGGTCCATTCTTAACCTGAAACTGTTCTTAACCTGAAGCACCACTTTAGCTAATGGCCTCCTGCTGCTGTCGCGCTGCCGGAGCACAATTTCTGTTCTCATCCTGAAGCAAAGTTCTTAACCCGAGGTACTATTTCTGGGTTAGCGGAGTCTGTAACCTGAAGCGTCTATAACCTGAGGTACCACTGTATTTAACCAATTAAACTTGCATATCTTTGCAGATCAGCAAAATAGCATTATTTAAGGAACACAAACTGCTATTAAATATTGCATGTAGAAGTTGAGGTATTTGACATTACTTGTTGGGTCCGAATAGATACGATGGCTTACTAAGGTAAAGGGACCCCTGACCATTAGGTCCCGTCCTGGCCGACTCTGGGGTTGCGGCGCTCATCTCGCTTTACTGGCCGAGGGAGCCAGCGTACAGCTTCCGGGTCATGTGGCCAGCAGGACTAAGCAGCTTCTGGCGAACCAGAGCAACGCACGGAAACGCCATTACCTTCCCGCCGGAATGGTACCTATTTATCTACTTGCACTTTGACGTGCTTTCAAACTGCTAAGTTGGCAGGAGCAGGGACCCAGGAACGGGAGCTCACCCCGTCACGGGGATTCGAACCGCCGACCTTCTAATTGGCAAGTCCTAGGCTCTGTGGTTTAACCCGCAGCACCACCAGCTTACTGCTGTCCCACTAAAAGTGTTTTGAAGAAATCACTTTCAGCAACGCTGGCCTGTTTTTCACCCATCTGCTGCTTTGAAAGGCTTATTGGGCCTATTTCACAAACATTTAAAGGGATTGATTGCTGATTATACTTTTTGCATCTCATTACCAGTCATCTGTCCCTTTTCATTTTTCTCCTTTGAACTGAGTGAAGTGCTTCCTTCTGTCTGCACTGAATATTTTCCATTATTCCCATTTTCCATTATTCCCATTATTCGTTAGTTTTCTCTTCACAAACTTTTTTTAAACCAAGAAGTACATAACATTATATTTATCTTTGTCATCTCTCTCGTATTTTATTGAGGCAGGTATTTCAAACTTTTTTTGAAAAAAACACTTTAAGGGTGTCCCATCCCCCCCCAATTGCTGAATCATTGGACTGGATTCTTTATCCATTCACAGTCTGCAGAGTCATAGATGTTGTACAGTATCCTTTTATCTCTTGGAGTGCTTGACTTTTAGGGCTCACTTTGTAAATACGAGATGAGTCAACGGAATTGCAATCCGGACCAATGAAGTTCGGTGTCATCAACTTGTGGGTTAAAACGATTTGTTTAAAATCACTGAACGTGTTAATTCGCATACGAAAGCAAAAATATCTCTGCTATCTCTGTTCTTAATACAACCATCTCGGCCCTGCCGAGTCAACGATGACCAATGT